TCGCCGGCACGCAGGTCGTAGCTTGTGCAGGCAGTGTTTGCTTCTGCCTCCTCTCTGCCAACCGGCCGAATGAAATATCTCCGGTGATCCGGTTTTTGCTCAAAGGCAGCAAGTAGCTTGGTAATGGCCCTACCCGCTGAGTTCTCTTTGTGCACGACTGCAATTTTGAGATGGGTGGTGAGAGCGAGCCAGGCGAGCAAGAAAGTGAGAGATCTCGTCTTGCCTGCCCCAAAAACTCCTGCTACTGCAAGGTGGATCTGCCAGACCGGAGAGCCAGCGCTAGGCTGGCTGCCAATAAGACGTCATGTCTTGCCGCAGTGCCCAGCTTCGCGAAATCAGAGGCCTGAGGACAGTACACAAGTGTACCGCCCGTTGTCAGCAATTGGAACAGGGCATGCAAACTCTGTAACATAGCTATTGTGCATTCCAGATTGTGTGGAATGGGCACATGGCCAGGGATGCCCAACACAGTAGGCTTATGCTCGGCTGCCAAGGTAGCCATTTGCAACAAATGGTCAGCAGTGACGGTGTCTCCTGCCTCAGCAAACGCCAAGACTCGAAACTTCGTTGCTCTAGACTCCAAAGTGAGTAGACTAGGAGGAAACTCCCATTTGACTGGGCACGCCAGTCCAGTCTCGGCTGTGGCAGGCGGGGGGGCAAAGTCCGCTGGGAAGGGCACCAAGGCGACGTCCCAATGGCGCGGACTGCTGTCACGAATGCCAGCAGAAGAGCTAGGACCGAGTAACATGCATCATTTTCCAGCAATACCAGGCGGTAGGCCTTGCCTACCTGACAGCCCATATGTACTGCATTGGAAGAATTTGTTGCAAGCTGTTCGAAGTCTTGGCTCTGCTGGTGTGCAGGGCAGAAGGTAGCTGCTTGTTGGAGAGGGAACAGATGTCAGAAGAGAGGCGGCGCCGATATGAACAGAGGCGTCGAATTTTGGGGGCAACACTTGCTGCATTAGAGTTGGATTGCAGTGCAACAGTACGACAAAGGGCACATGAATTCTGCTTTACAATGACAGACCTCTCTCCTCGTGATGATTCACCGGATTTTCTGGGAGAAGGAGAAAAAGCCCTACCAGTCGACACAGCGCTAGCAGGTGATGTGGTTGGTGGTGAAGACAGAGGATATTTTGATCCTAGCAACATTCCATGGAGGAACTATGGAACTGCAAGGGGTGCGAGAGATGGTTCCAATGAAGAGGATGGAGGAACTTCTGAAGAAGATCAGGAGAGCTTCGAGTCAGAAGGCTCGATATTTGAACTCTGGACTTGATGAAGTGTCCGATCATGAGATGTGGATGTCACTCCATCATTGGAGTAGCGAAAGTGAACATGAAGGAGATGAGACAACAAACAATGGTGCAACAGGATCAGCAGAAGCAGGGAGAACAACAACAACAGAGACGACACATGGTGATGGTGGAGAACCTGAGAATGAACCAAGAATGAATGTTGAGTGAATTTTGCATGACAACAAATGGAGGTGCGTGCACCAGCTGAACCACGCATCTTCATATGATAGCACTACGATGCATTGAACTGGAATGACAATAGTTTGGTGCAGATGAATTAGCAATGGTCTTTTGTGGCAATAGCATTGAAACAATGCCGGAACGGTCCGTACATCATTTGTACGTAGATGAGTTGAACCTGCTAGGTGGCCTATTCCCGTGACCACTTAGATGAAGTGGAACCTAGCAGAAAAAAAAGTGCGACTAAAACGTCGAACTTTTAGGCGGCGTGTGAAACATTTAGCACCTACTAGGTAACCTGATGTACAGTCATGAGGTGCACTGTTCACTAGTTGAAAACTACTCCGCTGGAGCGCGTGGGCTCAAAAGGTGCGCTATCAAACAACTCTACAGATCAAGAAGTGTACCAAGAAAGGTGGAGACTTGATTTGTCACATCAAGCTCCAAGCCGAGGTGTTAACCTTTTACACCCTAGAGTACACGTATAGATGACACATTGTATAGTGCAGAGATTCGGTGTCAGTTGAATGTGTAGTATCCGTTCATATCAGTGCAACTGCCACAGCGCTCGGGTTCAAAAGCAAGTTGCTGCCTAACATTTCATTAGCGATGCAAGGCCAACTTCAACGCCCGACGGAAAAGTAACTGGTGTTGGAGAGGAACTTCTAGAAGTCTAGAGAATGGAATGTGGGGAATGAAATGGGCAGGAAATGCTGAGAAGGCAAATGACTGTTACAAGATATGGATTCTGGAGTCAGAATCCACGTTCTTGTTTCTTTTTGAACTGCTGACCAAGCCGTGACTCTACTTTTCCTTACTGGCAGACTTGAGCGGCCGCCGTCATTTCGACCTGTCGTCGTTTCACTACCTCGTGGATTGGGCCCTTGGCCTCCTAACGACTAAAGATGATCAGATCTCTGTACATGTTTTTCCTAGGTTGGCGTGTGGCCAGCGCAGTCAAGTCCGTACGCATTTCTATAAGTGTGTCGGGCTTCATGCCAGCCCAGGGCCCGACGAGTGCCCCCTTCGGACCCGTCGAACGGTTTCTTTTCTATCTTCCCCCTGCCCGGGAACGCGTGCCGACTTGCCGGATTATTGAATCCAAGTAAGCAGCTTACGAGAAAACCATTAGGTGAGCAGAGCGGTCAAAGCTTTTGTATGGTCCATTGGGAGCTGTCCCCACCTTAGGTGCACACACAGCGCGTACATTCCAAACCAGGCAGGTCCCTCTAGCTCTTTCAAAAGAGGTTTGGTTTCATTGGTTCCTGACCCCTCCAATTGTTTTCCTTTTCATCCTTGCCCCCTCACACACATCTTCTTTCCTCTCTTGCTTGGCCGCTGTCTAGGCTTTGTGAAGGTCTGCGTGTTTTGCTTCAGGCCTTGTCCAGGTCTGTTTGTCCATGCCCGGGCTTTGTCCGGTGCCGTGGACCCTTTCTTCTCCGCCTTGTCCGGGTTTGTTTTCTTGTGGGTATGACTGCAACAGTGATGCAGCGTCCCGTGTTATGACGTCCCCGATTTTTTTCAGGACATATATCCTAAAGCAAACCTGCTTAATTTTTTGGGGGTCAGTGCTGGTATTGTTTTCACTGAAAAACCATACGCAAATGAAACATGGACAAACACCTTCTATACATTTGCCTGGATGGTGATGCTGCTCACAGACAAAAAATGTCGTGGTGCTAAAAATCCATGCTTGTTGTCCTACCAGTTCAATTGCCACAGAAACATGCTCTCGCCATTTTAAATTGGAAACATATCCTGTCAATTATTTTGCATGGGGAGTCTTCAGGTTCAAGCATGAACCAATGAAAACGTGCAGAATTGCCGGAGCTGTTTGACAGCTCCGCAGTAAGATCCTCAGTTGAAAAGAAAACACATGATGTAAAACATTCATGACACAGTTGCCAAAGTTTGACACTGCCGTAATTTGCCAGGTGCTGCCAATTGCTGCTTGCGCCGGCCTGCCTGGCGCTGAGCAAACAGCGGCCAGAGTGATGTGCAGTTCAATCCGGCTCAACAAGTGCAACGGCTGAGGAAGGCCAAGGAACCGTTTGAAACATCTCCAACGTGCTTGTTTAACCTTCGAGTCATTTGAACGAAATGTGTTGGGAAAGTACCACACATCCTTTGCTCAAACAAGGCATCAAGCAGCACTGAGGACGATGGCCTTAGCAGGGACTTCCACAACTTGTCCAAGCGCTGCAGGCAACGGAAAAAAATAGTTGGCCCGGTTTGATTGGTGGCAGGTGGCCTGTGCTGGAAACCTGAACCGCCCCAATAGATGTTCGATCCCCCCGCCTGTTCCAAACAGTGAACCACGTCCCTCACCCACAGCGCCGACAGTCAGGCAACTCCTCTTCATTGCGGACATGGCATGTTTCTCAGAGCTATGGCAGAAAGGTCCTGAAGTCTACAGCGGTAAACGGTTGAATCCAATCTCAGGCGCTCGGGACGCCTGCCTGCGGGTTCTTCTGCAGCGTCACTACGAGGTGCAAGACCCCTTTCTGCCAAGTCACCAACGTGGCACCACATTTGATTTCTTTAGGTGAAGCTGGTCTTGTGGACACATCGGCAGGGTCTCCAGGACATGGGCGGACGTTGGAAGCAGTAGATGCCTGCAGGTGGTAGCATTGTCTCTGAAGACAGCAGCAGATCTATGTTGATCTGAAAGTTTTACAGCCCTGGACGGCACACTAGAAATTATTCACCTTTGCTCCATGGGTTGTGATTCTGTACTGCAAGAAACATTTGAAGTGAATTGAACTATCAACGGAGCCCTTTCAGAATGTATGTATATATATATATTTATTTATTTATGTATATATCGAGTTGAGCTTGCCTGTGGGTTGGGGACACGTAGCCAGTGGTGTTCGGCATCGTGCCGAGGCTTCAACACGTGGTCTTCGAGCCGCACATCTCCCAGTTTGCCGTTCGCTTCAATAGACCTGACTGTCATGGTGTTGCTTAGGTACGGCTCTCAAGGATCAATCCCACATTTCCGCAGATGGAACGCTTGGATGCGCCTTGCCCCGCTTACTTGAGAGAGACTGATTGTCTTCATTCTTGGTCAATGGCCTTTCTCTTGAGCTTTAGCATACTCCGAGGAGGCCAGGAATTCCTGCGATTCGGGAGTCGAGGCGCGAGGTGTTTCGATGTCCCCGTCGAGCGGGGCAACATCTCGTCTCAGGACCCGGAGACAGCACCTTCGATGCTGATCCAGGCAGGAGCCACAGAATGTGGCGGTCTTTGCGGATGGTTTTCGTAGCCAATGACCACAGAATTTGCCTTTTGATTTGCTTGCAGATTGGGAGAGCTTTGCTCAAGCCAATGACCACTGGCAAGTACAATTTGTTTTGATACAACGATACAAGTGTCTTGTTCTTTTATCAACAGGTGTCCTGGAGGCCTTGTTTGAACAGGAATTTACTGTATTGTTTTGGTTTGAGACAGCACACTTGAAGAGAGTGACTGAAAGAAGGTACTAGAGCAGCGGCAACACATTTGTAGCATGGAAATACCCATGACGAATTTCCGGCGGGCTGTGTCAGAAGGAGGTGCTGCACAGAATCATTGCTGCGTAGTACAGTGACTCCTCTGGAGACAGCTGAAGCTACGGTTGTTCTTGATTTCAGTGTCTCCTTTCGCCTTCATTTCTGCTTGTGCTTGTTGTGCTCGGGCAGTGCTGTTTTGATGTTTGCATGGGGTACTCAGGTCTGAATCAACCGAAGAGCCCTCTCAATGGAGGCAACATGCAGTGTTGGAGCTGCAGAAGCACCGCAGAGGCGTTCAGAAGTGACATGTGCTCACCAGTGTTGCAGTTTTCGGCAGACGGCCTGTTGTGGGAGCGCCTTGAGTGCTGGTTTTTGGTTTTCCTTTACCTTCAGTGCATCAGGAGACAACATCGAACGGGTGATGACTTCCGTCTCGTCTCGGTGGTTTTGCTGCTTGGCCAGGCAATCTTCTTGGCAACGACTCCGCCATCACAGTTGAGTCGGGATCCAGCCGGTCATTGGCCTTGGATGCCACTGGTCCTCACACAGCAATGTTTTCTTGTCTTTTTGCGGGAAGGGGACCACTATAGGTCGCATGAAGACGGTAGGTAGTGCGACGTCTCGTGTGTGTCATTCTCACATGACCACATTGCCAACCAAGTTTGAACACCTGAAATTCGCCAGGCCGTGGGCAATCCGGATTCGACTCAAGATGCATTATGGCCATCAATGCCTACGGTAGAAATGCATGGCGAGGCCGTAAAGCGAAGAAAGCATTCTTTTCGCGAGTAAACACTCAGCCAGTCCAGCACAGCCTGCATCCGTGTTTCAACACAGCGGTCTTCGTGACCTTCGGTGTTTCAATGAAGGAGATCCACCATCCTTCCACCGAATTGTCGTCTTCTTCCATCAGATTCTCAATTTATTTTCAAAGATCAACTTGAGCTTATGTCAAAATGGTTGGATTAGTGGTGCTCCGGAAGCAGGTATGTGCTTCTGAAAGCTTTGCCTGTTCACCGCTGCAACATGCAGCCAGGAAATCTCTCATGAGCAAGAAGCAGGCGAGCAAACCAGCTGCTGCAACCGTGCCTGGCGTCCTGACTATCAGAGTTGGAAATTCATTTGCTTTCGAATGTTTGCACAGCCTTTGCTAGGTGCAAATTACACTCCATTATGATTGATGTTCTCCTGACCTAGGTGGCTATTGCAGGGCTGGTTGTTGGCAATTATGGTGGGTATTTGCTCATCTCTTTCTGGAGCTGGCTTGGATGTGGGAGTGCAAGGCAGCGTTTTTGGCATTAACCCGGAGATTCATGAGAAGAGGGCCCTCTACCCACTTGACTCCGCACGAAGTCAGATCGCTCCTCAGTCCCCCTTGCGAGGACTCTCATCGGTGCGCTTCGGTGTGTGCAGCCCTCCGTGGATTCCCTTCCGACATTGCCCAGAGGAGAGAGGTCGGTTTTGGTGACGCTTGTAACACTCCTGAAGATCTTGGCATGGTCTGAAACGTTACTACCCATGAACCACATGGGTTCCTGGTTGTTTCCCCTCATTTGAGACATGAGATGCTTGGGGCGCCTTTTTGTTCTTCTTGCAGGATTCATGGATCTACTGGGGCCATGGCATGACAGGGTCAAAGCCTTATGTGGCAAGGTATCAAAAGCCAGTATGTGGACACGTATGGCACATCCTTCTTCTTGACCCGCTTCTTTCCCTCTGCAATCATCAAGAGTTGTTTGTTTCTAAGGCCGGTTTCTGCAAGAATTGCCAGTCTATTGAGACAACCAAGGTATGCATTCAATGTTGGCTTCGGTACGCTGTGGGCGTTTATCTCCGGGATGCTGGTGTATGCCTTTGCCCCTGCTGCAGCTGGATCGGGCATACCAGAAGTAAAAACAATATTGAACCCAGGCATCGGTTTGATCGGACAAAAGCACATTCCTTTGTTAAGTTTGGCAAGCATGCATGGGCCAAGCATGGGGTTTCTGTCGCGCTTACGACTTCACTGGTTCACAGAGACTGGTAATGGCCACTTCTTGTTATTTTTTTTCGATTTATAGCCTCCTGATGTTCCCAGTGGGATGTGGGTAGTATTCAGCAGCGTCGGTTTGCAATCTTGGTGATGAATCACGCAACCAACGAATTTGGATACAAGGATTGATTGCACTAGCGGTTTTCGCTAGCTTACAGCCAACATTCCAGCTTGTGGGTACAAGGAGGCAAGAGCTGCTGGTAATTGTTTTTCTCCGAAAAACGTATCCTGCTACGAACCCCAAAACCGCAGCTGCAACAGTAAGATCAGACTTGCCAGAGATCTCAGGGATCCTTAACAATCTTGGTTTCTGACGCGGAGCAACCGTTCCCACGGTCCGCTGGACAATTTTTGAACACACACACACACTGAAACAATAACCAGTTCTTCCCTGTACCAACACCTCAGCTAGTAAGCTGCCCACCCCATTCTCAGACGATATGTTGTGTCAATGACCATCTCGTGGATGACTATGTTGAGAAACCGACAATGTTGTGGAGCCCACAAAAGTTTTATGGCAACGGTAAGAAAGCGAGGATGCTTCTTGCATGACTCTTCAACATGGTGTCCCAAAACACGGGATTCTTCAGCTCCTGAACAGTCACAAACAACCCATTCATCCATTTGTCCATCCTTCTTCTTGGGTTTCCCACTGGTGGGCATGGCAACGAAGGGCTGAATGTGCCTGGCAAACAATTGGTTCCTTGCGGCCCAGGAACGGATTCGTGATGGCAGATGTGGTCTCCTGGCGCACTTTGCTCATCAAAGTTCCAGGGCTCATGCTCTCTGTCGCAGCAGGCTGCGGGGTGAACCGCTATTTTCTCCACAACATGATTGCTTTCATTTGGTTTCTGACTAGACGAGCTCGACTTGCACCAGGCATGTCATTGGGCAAGGAAGGACCTCTTGTGCATGTCGCTGTGTGCTGGGCTCAACTGCTCTCACGGGCTTTTCCACAGCTTCTTGGTATGCAGCTTTTCCCCTGTCTCCACTGTCGTTGTGTCGCTTTTTGTAGACACTCTTCGAAAGGGTTTGTCTTCTTTTGGACAGTCGCTTTTTCCTTCTCACTTCCGTCATTGTCCAAGGTTTGCCAATGAAGCCAAACGTCGAGAGCTTTTCTCTGCTGCAGCAGCTGCTGGAGTAAGCACAGCGTTTGGAGCACCTTTGGGTGGCGTACTCTTTAGCTTGGAAGAAGCAACTCAGCACCAATGCCTGGTGCTGTGCATGCACAGATACCTGAAATGAAAGCCATGCAGAATACGCCGCACGCGAAGAAACGACGGAAGCATAAGGAAGCCATAGGAAGCCTTTCCTTTTAACAGGGGTCATGACTCATGACACCATTACACATAGGAAGTCCATGTCGGGCGGCATCACCTCACTTCAGACAACAAAACAATTTGCAGGCAGAAACTCTACAGTGTGAGCTCACATATATAAGTCTCCATATATATGTCTCGGTTCTTATATAGTCTTTTTATAAACAAGAGCAGTTTTTGCACTGAGTATTCAACGAACAAGCAATGGTTCAAGTGAGCTTAGAAGAGAAGGAATCCCAGCTTGCTTAGACACGCGCTTCCATTTCTCTCTTTGGAACAAACACTTTCCATTCTTGAAGTCCACACATGTTTTATTTGCGATTTGCACGCTGTTGGAGTAAAGATTACACATGTCATGCTGACGAGAATCAATTAAGTCTTCTTTGCTTTTAGACCGCAAAGCGTTGAAAAACCACGCAAAGGCTGTAAGTTCGGAGTTCGGAATAAAACGCGATCCAGGTATTCCAGAAGACCTGCGGAACCAAATGCGTCGTCGTGACATCGGCATTTTTAAGGTCAGCTCCTTTTTCCCTTCACGTACACTGATCAAGTCATTTACAGCAGCAATGGCAGCTGCGATTGTGCTCTCAGTGCTCAACACGACCAACACCAAAGGCGACCGGGAACGACTCTCGCGATCGGCGGACCGTGGACCGAAGCTCGTGAGGCCTGACGCTCTTCAGCGTTGAATACAGCACCGCCTGCCATCCGATCGAGCATTTGGCCAGGAATTCTGGAAGAAAGCAAGGGTTTTGCTTAGAAAGCAATCTATATAGTGTCTTTGTAATTGCACGTGTACTATGTTTTCCTGCACGTCTGAGGTACTTCATTTTTGCCGTTCTGGGCGTTGTGGGTGGCCTCATTGGAGCAGTCTTCAACTCCCTCAATGTCCGCTGGTCGGCCTTTCGCATGACGCCGGCCTTCCGGAAGCGTGTGCACCCCGTCTTGGAGGCTCCACCGTGTGTTCGCTCCACCGTGTTGCATGGTGAAACCGAAACCACATGGTCCACCAGTGGGATGCATGCCATCAGGTGACTTGTATTGCCTTGGTGACATTGCTCTCCTCGTTTCCACTGGCCATGACTCGGGTTCTAAGCTCTGATGCAATTCATGCACTTTTCGAAGCCTGTGATGCTGGCTCGGGCATCTTGGTGGAAGGTCTTGGAACAAGAGTTCCTTTAACCTGCTTTTCCTTAACGAAACGCCCTGCATACCTGCAACTTTGCAAGCAAAGACCGAGCATTTAGGCCATCAGCTGCGGGGGCATTTGAAGCTTTGCACCGCGGATGATGCGTATGCGAAAGCCTCTGCCTCCCTTTTGATGGAGCTACTGTTGGCCGCCTTGATCCGTTTGCTTCAGAACTTGGGGCAGCAATCGGCCGTTTAGAGTCAAGCGAAGTAGCTTTATGATTCCAGTCTGTGAAGTGATGGATTAGATCAGTTGATCCTGGGCCCAAAGGCCAATTCAGCATGTGCTAGATTGCAACCACTCTTTTTGGACCTTAATTGATGTGACTGATTGTCAGTGTCTCCCGAGTGTCATTGCCAAGGCATTGTTTTAGTGCGGTGGCCCTTTTCCTTGGCTATTTTCAGGTACTCTCCCTGGAACTAACTTGGAAGTGGAGTTCACCCCCTGTTTGTGGAGAAAAAAGGGTCTTCCTTTCGGGGGCAATGCCCATCCACTCCCATCATTCATTCCAGGAAGTGTATATCTGTCTGCGGCCTGCTGAGGACCATCTTGACCTTCGGGGTGCCTTGCCCTGCAGGTGGCCTTGCTGCATTGACGATTTCGTGAGATGAACTGGTAGACTTGTTCACAAGAGAACAAAGAAGTTGACAGGAGAGTTTTGTTTAGAGAGGAATGACTGTTGCAGATGGTTGAATTGTTGCACGGCTCGTCAACACCTGGCCACCCAGGACTGTTTGTTCCCTCACTCTTCACGGGTGCTGCCATTGGACGCTTTGTTGGTGTCATCGTGCAGGCACCATCGCCGAAAGTCGGCACTATCGCTTGATGGCACTTGACTGGGCGCGACCCGTCTTGACCAGTCTCGCCACTTCCCAGGCTGCTAATCATGAACGCCAGATTTTTCCTCGCACCGTGGAGCCTGGAGTGTCACCACCTTACATTGAACGCCTTTTCAAGTTGATGCAGTTTGAATATATGAGCTGGAACTGACTTGCTGCTACCTTCTGATTGTAATCATTCACTAGAAGAAAAGCATCGCAGGTAGTAAAACCCTTCTGTGGTTCCTGTGTTATTGTTAAGTTGTTGATAATATATGACGTGCATACACCATTTGTAGGTATGCAATGGTTGGAGCAGCTGCCGTGCTTGGTGGCGTCTCTTCTCTGAACTGAAGGTGTTGGCTGAAACAAAAGCCACCACAGATGGCAGTAGAAGGTGAATTTCGCGCATTTTCTCATCGAACATATCTAAATACAATATTCCCTTTGCTTGGGTTTGCCATACTGAAGAACTGAATTCATATTTTTCAAGATTGTTCTTAAAGACTGAAAGGTATTTGTTGGGTGGCAAGAATCTGTGAAAGGGGATCAACGAATTCAACCAGCCCATGATGTATAGTTACCCCAGGTTGCATCGACATACCTTAAGTTGGCAAAACATACCTTAAGTTGGCAAAACATGACATGGCCTTTTTCAATGGAGTCTGGGCCATTCATCTCACAAGCGCGCACACACACACACACACACTTGAGAAGGTTGCTCCGTGGAGCTTGTCTTCAGGCAATTCGCGGTGAGCATTAGCCCTTTAAGTGAATACTTAGCACTTGACTTGCAAAACCGCAGGAATGAAAGGTCAGCGCAACTGAATGTTTGAACAAACGCATTAGCTCTTTAGAATATGTTAAACATTTGTGCAGGTACGTTTTCACGGCAACATGGATGGGTCTTCGTTGGCCCATGCCATCCATGTGCCCATGGGCCCCCTGCTGTTGCAAACTGTACATTGACAATGAAAGGAAGGAGAAATAGTAGAGAGTAGTGCCCCTGGAAACGGGGTTTGACACAAACAGAAAGCCGTAATCGGCGCAACTAGTAAAAGTGTTGAGCGTACTGTCAATGAGCTCTGCAATGCATGTCCCCTGCGTGAAGACAGGTTTTGGAGAGTTTTCCAACGTTTTTGCAAGCGACCTCTGTTTTGTGGAGAACTCTGGCAACGTGCTTCCAGTTGGGTCGTGGCTTCTTGTTGAGTTTTTGCTCGGTGAGCTTCTCGTCATCGCTCGTATGACTGATGCTGATAGCAGCAGAGGCAGTGCTGGTGTGACTGATTCTGATAGCAGTGCTGTTTGTGGAAAAAGGACTTGTGAGGATGTGGCTTGTTTAGGTGGTGCTGCTGGTAGCAGTGGCACTGCGCTGTGAACAGGGCTGAGGCTGGTGGGAGTGTTGTTGGTGGAAGTGTTGTTGGTGGAAAGTGTGCTTGTGAGGGTGTGATTGTTTGGGTGTCGTTGCTGGTAGCAGTAGGGCTTGTGGGAGCAGCGCCGGTGTAACTGATGCTGGTAGCGGTGTTGGGTGTTGATTTACGCTTGTGAGGGTGTGACTTGTTTGGGTAGCGCTGGTGCGGGCAAAATCTGTGCCTGCGGTGTTTTGTCGTTGTCAATTTTGAGGCCCCGGGGTGTGAGCCACCGAGCCCCGGTGTTAGGCGCCCCTTGTTATGTAGCGCTGTTTGTGGGAAAAGTTCTGGTAGGACTGATGCTGGTAGCGGTGTGTTTTGCTGCGCTTGTGCTGGTGGGTGCGACGTGTTTGATCTTTGTGGAGAGTGGTGTTGGAGTGGGTGGGTATGATGGCTGGAAACAGGGTTGGCTGTTGTGAATGTGGTTGAGGGGAGGTTGCCGGTAGCAGCGCTGGTAGGACTGACGCTGATAGCAGTGTTGTTTGAGGAAGGTAGGTGCGGCTTGTTTTGGTAGGTGCTGATCGTAGCCAGTGCTGGTAGCTGTGTTGCTTGCGGAAAACTGGGCTTCTGAGGGTGTGACTTGTCCGCCGTTCTCTGGTAATAGTGCTGGGCAACGCTGATACTGGCTGTGCTGTAGTGTGAGCAATGTCTGGAGGGTAGGTGTATTGTTGTAAGGTGTGGTATCTTGATTGTAGGCAATTGAATGCAAAGGGAATCATCGACTGTAAATATTGTAGTTCAGCCACTGTACTGAAAGTCTCGGCTCTGCAAATCGAATCAAAGTGGTGTATATAAATATGTACGACAGTGTAGATCTCGAAAATCTGGTATGTATGACTGCAAAGTGGAGGAGTGAGCAAGACACAGACTCTAATCAAAATGAAAATCTTGAAAAATTTAAAAGTTGAAAAGAAAAGAATTTAAATTGAAAGTGATGGCTTCTGGGTGAGACTTGATTCAGTTGAACTCTGCAGTATACTTCAGTAAGAATTTCAGTGAACTCTGCAGTAAAATTCACGTGTGCAAGGTGAGACACTCCGAACAAGCTGATTTCGAGCAGGAAAATTCAGTCGAATGGATTTCAGAAAACTTCAGAGAAATTACTCCCACGGTGAGGAGTGAGAAGGTTCTCTCGGTAACAGCGCCCTGTAGGGATCACACAGCTTACCACGGTGGGAAGAAGCTGCGAAACACACTTGAGAAGGTTGCTCCGTGGAGCTTGTCTTCAGGCAATTCGCGGTGAGCATTAGCCCTTTAAGTGAATACTTAGCACGTGACTTGCAAAACCGCAGGAATGAAAGGTCAGCGCAACTGAATGTTTGAACAAACGCAGTAGCTCTTTAGAATATGTTAAAAATTTGTGCAGGTACGTTTTCACGGCAACATGGATGGGTCTTCGTTGGCCCATGCCATCCATGTGCCCATGGGCCCCCTGCTGTTGCAAACTGTACATTGACAATGAAAGGAAGGAGAAATAGTAGAGAGTAGTGCCCCTGGAAACGGGGTTTGACACACACACACACACACACACACACACGCGCACACCTCGTTTTAGCGTCATGCACATGTGCGAAGTTCATGTCTGAGTTGGCTGAGCAAGTGACCAAAGCCCACTGTCTCCCAAAGGCCACTGTCTCCCAAAGGGCTTGCGGACCATTGCTTGCCCCAAGTCTGTATTCGCTTCTCATGTCTCCTTAGTTTGCTTCAAATCCGAACCGCTCCAGCTCCGCGCAGCGGTTCCGCCAGCTCCGCTCAGCGGACGATCACCAGGTTTGTCGGGTGACGATCTCCTTGGTGGCTATCATGCTGGAGCTTACAGGGGGAATGACTTACATCGTGCCCTTCATGATCGCTGCTCCTTGTCCGGCTCGGTGAGTGAGGGTAGCATTAAAAAGATGGTTCTCCAAGTTTTGCTACTTGCTCTTTGTGTAGTGGTGCATCTTCAAAAAACACGCCAGGTTCTTATCGCCAAGCTTGCCTCCAGGATGCAAATAAATTGTTCTCTTTGAGGTTGCTTTTTCTAACTTTTTTCATTTCTATATTCTCCAAACGCAGTTGCAGTATGTGCAAGTCGATGGCCAGATTTCATTCATTTTCGATATTCAGGTGGGAGACACACTGAACGAAGGTGGGATCGATGGACGCAGTTCCCATGTTTCCGATGGACGCTGATGCTAGTCTTGTGAACACAGACAGCTGTGAGGCATCTACGACCTGTACATCGTCCTTAAGGGATATCCGTCTCTTGCCACAAGACGTGTGCCTTTTGCCGCGTGCACAGGATGGGAGGAGGGAACGTTGGGCGACTGTAAGGTTTCTGCAGGAAGAACTGGATGTGACCTTCATTGAGCCTTTTGGAACGCACTGGCTTTTTTGCCTTCTTCGATTCGTTGAGTCTTGGGGTCAAGGGCTTGCCACCTGCGCTGAGGAGATGTTGCGACATCATGCAGTCAGGCCCGCCTTTTTGATGTTGCCAAACGGCTTTTTGGTGATGAGGTTCTCTTGCCTTCGCTTGTCTTGTTGCCACAGCCGCTGTGCGCACGGTTGTCATCCATAGAGCCTTAAGGCTTGACCAAACTGGATATAAGTCTGCAGCCCACGGTCGCTGATTTGAAGCTCAGCGTGATTCCAGAACATGAAGGAAGCACTGATGCCTTTCATAACATGCCAGGCATGCTGCTTGCGCTTTTCCAGGCTTTGAGCGCTTTCAAGTGCAAGGGTAACTGAAATGAAAGTGACAAGCCTTCATGCTAGCCTGAATTTCTCCTGGGTCTGCCGCCTGCCTAACTAAAGTCTCAAGATGAGAGAGTGTCTCAAGTGAACGAAACAAAACAAAACCCTGGCCTGCGTGCGGAATAGAGCATAGCAGCATAGATGAAGCCCAGCGTTTGGAGGGATCCCTTCACTTTGAACAATGCACACATGTGCAAGCCGAAGATCCAAGGACATGGCTGATTCAGAACTTCCATTACTCTGGGTATCCGGTTGTCAAAGGTGATAGCTGCTTGCTTCAGATCAGGTATGCTGTCTTTGCTGGTGTGGTTGCACTGCGCACATCGTTCAGCTTCAACCATCCCAGAAAGAAACTGAAAGAAAGATTGGTTCTTGCCATGTCGTTTTGAGGCTTCTTGGGATACGTGAAGCGAGAATATTTGCGAGAGCTGTTGGGTTGCTTCTCCGGCATCTGGCATCTTTTGACTCTTTCTTCAGAAAAGGTAGAAGATAGAAGATGAAGAAAGTGTACTCAGATGAAGATTGAGAGCACAATGTGTTAGCAAAGTTGTTCTCATTCATGTGGTTTCATCAGGACATCTTGCCACTCTCGGGCGAACGGATGCTGATCGTGTGAATGAGGATGAACTCCTCTCTGTGACAGCTGCTTGGCACCAGGGCGCACTGTGAGATGGTCATGTTGTCTCCTGTCTTGGTGGGTTTTCTTTCTGGTTTGCGCCGCCCCGCTTTTTTCCACCGAAAACCCCGTCAGGGAGACCTAGTCAATCAATTGAATCAAGAGTCAGCGACCGCTTTGCTTTGTTTAGAACTGACTGTTCTATATTGTCATGAAGTACAAGAAGTTTTGGTAGAGGAGAGCATCAACTTGGCGATGCAGACTCGTTGCTTGCTGAGAGTGCGGATTTTAGGTCTAACCTGATCTTTCCATTGACTTGAGTGTTTTGACTCTCACCGGCTGTGTACTTTGATCGCTGATTCCTGGACTTCAGTGCACCTACTGCTTCGCTAGAACTTCTTTCCAGTATGGTCCAATGACAAACCACGACAACCAAATGCGTTGATCTACCCTGATTTGCACGACCTGCGAGTGGTTCGTACTGTGCAGCGCCACTTTCGATGGCCGCCTCTGGCGCTTGGCTTCGTGCTCTAGTGAAACAGCCTTTGTGTTGGACATCTATCACGGCTTCTATCCACATCTCTGGGCCTCATATCTCCTGCCTCCATTTCCGCCTGGAAGGGAGAGAGATGTTGCTGTACTGTTTCGACTAGATTCCTGCATCTGCCATGTGGCACTTTTTCAAAGCTAAAGTGTAATCTGCCATCATTTGTTGTTTGTCTACCTGTATACTTGCTCATTTGCTCGCCGAACCTGCCTATTCTTTACTACTCTGTGAGCTTCTGTTCTTGGGGCTGACCGAGGATCATTCGGTGATGCGGATGTCTCCAGATGCCTCTTTGGGCCAGGCACCTTATTTTCCCAGGTTTAGCATGTTCTTGAGATGTTCTGCTGCCAGGCTCACAAAGTCTTCAAACAACTTGGATGCAAACGGATCTTCCTGGTTGGGTCCATGCGAGGAAACTCAGAGGACTGGCAACCACACGGAGCTTTGTTGAAGGAACAGGCAACTTGTTGAAGTTGTTTTGATGATTTGCTTCGGCGCCGCAGGATGTTCTACAGGCGCATGATCCTTGGATATTGTACCACATAGTTCAGGTACATCCCTGCAGGCTGACATGGACCGCCCAAAAGGTAGAGGAAGATAGTCTTGCGTTTCCAAAAGGTCATCTCTTTCCCTATCTTTCCCGCCTTCTCACAGGTCCATGTTAGATTGCAGGGTTGTCTTTTGCATTTAGTTGTGCGAAACGAATGCGCTCGGAGGGTATGCTCTCCAAGAAGATTTTTCTGCACTTCCTGAAGACGGGAAAGATTGGGCACATGCGAGACTATCCCAACAGCACGCCCTACTACGCACCTTGGCCTCGTCGAACCTGAGGCTCCCAATCCCAATTCGCTGTGTCCGCTTGCTTTTTCTTTTTCAACGCCCATCCGGTGAGACCAAACCCACCCGGACACGGCATGTGGACCTCTCTTCCCACCGACTCGCCCCGTGCGCTCCGGACCCCGAGGCGCGGCAGTCCCCCGGGCGCTCGAACGTGGCCCGCGCGGCGGGACTCGACGCTTGGTGCGCTGGAGGGTGGGAAGAAGTAGAGTGAGGAAGTGACGAAAGCAGATGAAGACCTACAAAGGTGGAAGTGGGGAGAGTGCTCCTTTGAGTTTGAGATCGAATGATGTGGAACCACACTTGTTGTTTTTCTGTAGTTTTGGGGATCCAGTCCAGGAGGAGTATTTTTTCACCAACGAGTGCGGCATGGTTGCTTGCATGTTCTTCTCTTTTTTCCGCTGCAGGAGCCCCTAGTAGCGTCCGATCGCTCCTAGTAGCGAGGCCAGGAGCCCCTAGCAGCTTCTTGTTCCTAGTAGTAAGGCCAGGAGCCCGTAGTAGCGTCCGATCGCTCCTTGTTTGTTTTGCGAACTGCGCGTCGCCGCTACGCCTTTCAGGCACGTTTCAGAAACACGTCCTTCGTGGCTTCATTGCTGTCGAACTCACGGCGAAGGGGTCCGACGTGCCTTGGCAGAGTTCTGTATGGACAGAGTTTTACAAGTTTGGCTTGGCGGGGGTGACAGGGGTGGTTTTGCCTGCAATCGACTGTGCAGGAACTCTAAACCCACCCACTGTTTGCCTAGATGCAACTGTTGTGAACTTGATGAACGATAAGTTATATACTCAGAAGGAAGATGGTGATATTTTAAAACACCTCAATGTTTTTCTTCAAGACACAAGAGCTTGTTGTTTTAAAGTCTTGAAGCCGCTCTTTCTTTAGTCCGGACTCTTGTCCCGGACAATCGGCCTCAAACGTGTGAGGGTACCGTTAGTTGTAAGGCAGCTGCGCACGATGGTGAACTCGCCCGAAATGTCGGCAAGCTCGGGTGAGGAGGAGAGCATGGGCTGAAGATTTGTTGCTGTTAAGATTTCTGCCTTCTCTATCTTTAGACTATATAGATGGCTCCGTTTGATTCTTGGTAGCTTCAGTTGAGAGGGCCATCTTGAAGGTAGTAGTTGTTTTATTGTAAATCCTTTCGTTGTCCTGTAACATCTTCGAAGTGGGTCTTTCAATGAGTTGATGCTCTGGACCACAGGGTTTGTTTGCTTTACTCAGAACTGTAGGACGGTCCTCCCTACGATGAGGTCCTCATCTCAGAGGGTTGCTCCAGCTCCAAAACGGCCTTCGTTTGCCTTTGTTTTGGCTGTAAGGAGGCCACGGGAGATGCAGAGTTCGTGATGCAAGAGAATGTGACTTGGCCACATGAGATACACCAGATAATTCCCACAGACTCGCGTTGTTTGCAAGGACTCCTAGACGCAGACGGAGAGCCGAACGCGGAGAGCCGAACGCGCCGAACGCCGACCGTGCAGTGGAACTGCCGACCGAATTGCGGGACCTGCACGAGCCTGTTTACGGCACCCGTCTGCTTGGGCCTGTGTGGCCATGTGAAAGTGCCAAGTGTGCCACAGAACAGATTGGCTGGTATGCTTGCAGCAAAAAGTGCGTCACTTCTTTGTGGCCAATTCCTCGACCAGTTGAAGCAACTTCTGAGCCATGTGTTCCAGGCACCAAAGCAGCCGCCAGCAGGAACACTTCCTTTCCAAAAGGCCTGTGGGTGTTGGAGCAATCAGGATTCCTGAAAATTGACCTGCAAAAAGAAGGGCCTGGTGTTGCAACTGTTTTGGTTAACCCCAACCCCCAAAGTCGATAGTCCTTTTTAAAGAGTCATGAAGGGTGCGTCACCATGTGACTCGTTCCCGGTGACATCCAACTTGAGAACGTGCACACTGCGGTCGAGGCCGCAGTTTGCATCGAACACTCTCTGGGGGGCCGTGCCTGGATGATCGATCCAGCGTTGGATGCTCGGGTTCTTGACTCCCGACAGAAATTGAGCGTCGAAGACCCCGGTCTGAACCTGAACGTGTATTAGGACCCTTTTAGGTGGAGGCCATCGCAAGTAGGTTGGAGGCCATCGCTACTAGTAACAAGAAGTAGCTAGAAGCTACTAGGTGGAGGCCATCGCTATTAGGTTGGAGGCCATTGCTACTAGCAACAAGAAGCTATATACTAGGAACAAAGGGCATCGCTAAAAGGAGCAAAAAGCTACTAGTAGCTCCTGGCCTTACTACTAGTAACAAGAAGCTACTAGTAACAAGGTGCTTTGGGGAGCTTTCAGATCGACCTTCAGATCGGGACCTTCAGCCGTGGTGCTCGGTGAATCCTCGGTGAGTCCGGTGAAGGATTGGTGACGGTGGAGCGGCAAGAATCCCCCAAAGAAGGAGTTTTCTGGAGTTCATTTTGCAGCGACACATGGAGCCGTTGTTAGCAACTTTGACGCAACTCGAGTTGCATGACATTGATGGTTGAGCATATAGTTTGTGACAGAAAAAGCAACATCATATTTATTTTATTCATTGCAGGAGGCAGTCGAACCAAAGAAGAAACTGGTAGCAGGGTGTTTGAGCTTGGATTTGTCGAGCCTGTGCAGGGCCTAGTCACCACTCCTGACGACCTTGCTGCTGTGTGGAACTTGATCTCAGTGGGCTTGGGATGCAAAGAGACAAGGTTCTTAAGTCTCTTAAGAGACATGAGAAGCAGCTGCACGGCGGGCTGCACGGCGGGCCGCACGAGCCGCGCTCAGGCTGAAAGCAAGCAGAAATGGCCGCTGTCCCTAGCAGCTCGCCCTGCAATGTGGGAAGGGCCCCTGACTCAGTTGAGCATCCACAGAGACGGAGTTTTGGAAACTTGGAGACAGAGCGAAGCTAGGACGAAACAGAGAATTTCGACATGCTCAGGTTGGACACACAAGGATTGTCTCCATCTCAGATGTCCTGTTGTGGCCTTTTCTTTCGTGCGGAGAGGTCGGTGGACCTCGCCGTGCGGAGCCGTTCCGAGCGTGGCACCCTTCAGGTCTGCCACTTCATCGCGCGGAGCACCTCGGAACGGCATGTCGACGCCGGTGGATCGGAGCAGCTGAAGCTGATGGAAATCCAAGCTGAACAAACCTGAGCCCTTGAGCCCTTGGGTGTCCATCAAACTTCGGTTAGGGATTCTTTGGAAGGGGGACCCCAAATGGCCAAAGTCTTTCCGAATCACTTGGACTTGGAAGCAAATCTGACTCCTCCAAGAAAGACCGCCCTTAACGAAACAAAAGACCGCCCTTTTCTCCGCCCTTTTCGGTGCGAAATGAGGCCACCTCTCGGCGAGTCCAGGGTCATTTGGGCCTCCGGAGGCCGGCAACGGGAAGCGGCGATGTCACGCAAGTCGATCTGTCGGTGGGGAACTGACGTAGGTGATCTTTGGTAGTGACGGTGTTTTTGGTGTGCCCAAGTTTGGAACACCAGTTGATGTGTCTTAGACGTGATGCTGGTGATGCACACTTGTAAGATAGGTCACAGCCGACGGATGTTTATTGGACTTGCCAAAGTCGCTCGTACATTTCTTTGCAAGGCTACCCGGCCAACCACTTGGCCCCTTTGAACGGGCTTGGCCCTCTGGACAAGTGGAAGAAGTGCTGGGAGAGCGATTAACACGTTTGCATGCAGTGCACCCTGTGCTACTTGCTGTGACTGTGAACCTAGGACAAGCTCTTGGATAGCTTCAACCAATTTCGGCAGAATGGAGGCACCGAAGATGAGGTTTTCAGATAGTTGTTTGTCTAAGCAGTCATGAAGCCGTGCATTATCTTCGCAGGGCATTTGCCGTCGATGGCGTCTTCAACATCTCATTTTAGTAGAGGCCAGTGGAGGGTATTTGAGACGTCACGATTCTGAGAGCTTCAAAGAACCGTTTCGGACAGCAGAGCTAGTTGCCCAGTTCTTCATGCAGATTGGAATATGATTGGCAACACGGCTCGAAGCCATTTGGGAAATGATTTGCCTTGGCTCGAGCACGTCAGCTCGAGTGTAAGGAAGATGGGAGAGCCTCAGGGCTTTTTTGCTCATGGCCTCGTCACCGGAACGATCACTTTCCTTGTGATTGGTCTTGTTGCCAGCATGGTATCCTCCACGTTCTTCATCAAGGAGACTGCAAACATTACGAAAGCGGAAAGCATCAGACTTGGATTGGTTGTGGTTTGGACTTCGACCTTTTGTATGTGGCTGATGTGGGCCTGCGTCTATATGCACCAGATGGTGCCACTGATGGAGCCACTTCATGTATTGAAGTAAGCAGCAACAAAAATCGCCAGACGATGGATGCACAGGGATAGGCAGAAGTGGACAGGTTGGACTGCACTCGTGTGGTTTCCCGCCAGAGCAACACAAACCAAGTATTAGAGATGTTGGATGAACACCCCCAATTGCTTATCATAGTAACAATAAAGCTACTAGGAGCAAAGGGCATCGAATGGAGCGAGAATGAAGCTACTAAGGGCTCCTGGCCATACTACTAGGAGCGATCGGACGCTTCAAAAGCTTTTCCCATGCTGTTCGGGATCCCCATGAGTGACGCGTCGCAGTCGTCCGCTGGGAAGACACCGGCGGGCTGTGTTGAGTGGAGTGGAAGAAAACTGTACAGCGAGCTGCAAGCGGCTCGGCCGGCTCTGGCAACACGAGAGGAACCTGGACGGTCTGCGACCTGGAAGTGAGAAAAGTGCTTTTGGGAGACCTGGCAATGATGACTCGGCACAGTGTTCTTTTTCCCATTCTTGCAAATCACGAAACGAAGCCAACCTTGTTGCTACAGTTTCTCGTTTTCTCACATTTTGTCATGATTGCCAGGTGTGGATTTGCTGGATGTTCAGTCGCATGACATGGAGGCAGGAGCTTTCGAACCCCCTCCTGTTCTTTTGCGCCTTATGCAGGGTGGGGCCCACCATATACTTAAGAGATGGACGACGTTGACGAAACTGAAACCGGATAGAAGCCTCCAAAAGCGTTGGTTCCAATGCCTGTGCATTGGATACGTTCTTCAGGGTTCTTGTGTACCAATCTTATTTGCCCCGGACTGTGGGTGGATCTGTGGATCGCCCCGGACGGAACCCGTTCGGTTCGGTGGGTTCGGTCCCCAGGCCCTACAGCAGCGCTGTGCCGAACTGGAAGCGCTGGTGACCGAGCTGAAGCGGTCGAAACGAAGGCGGTCTGAGACGCGGGTCCGGGGGACAAGGGGGGGGATCCAGGACCCAGGGTTCGTGTACAAGGTTCCACAGGGTTCCACGAGGTTTCAAGAGTTCTGATTTGTTCTCGTATTTCAGGTTCGAGTTCACCAGCCCTTAGTTTAACTTTCTTCAACGATGCCTTCAGACGTGGCCTTCCTCTTGGCGATGTGTTCAAGAGGGCAATTTTGCAACATGCTTGGTTCGAGATACCACAATGCCCCCAAACTCTTGGGCTTCTACGGGTCTTCTTGCTTGAAGCGCGAGATCCACATTCTTAGCAGTTAGTCAGTTGATCTCTCTCAAAAAAGGGGGAACCTCGACGGTATTATCATAATATCAGGCCACTGGTTTTCTCTATATAGTATAAAAACAATGATTGTAAGAAACATAATGCAAACATGTGTTTTTATAAGCGTATATAAAGGATGTTTGCAGGGTCCATCCGATATGACATCCGGCCAGGACAAGCAAGCCAAGCGGCACTTCTTCGACGGTCAGCTTGCCTGGCACTCCAGGAGGCCTCACGTGCACTGCGTCGCGACCTCATCCAAGCCACACGTTGTTTTGGATGGTCAACAGTTCGGAGGGTTTGGCATGATCTCCGACTCCAAGACACATGGAAGATCATGGAAGTAGAACCCCCGTGGGGTTTCAAGAGGAGGCTTCTTTCCAAGAGGCCAACCATCCAACTTTCGCGGGATGTGAGGACCTGATTCCTAGAGAGCTTTTACTTTTCCATCAAGAATCTCATATCCTTTGCAAGACCAGTATCTCAAGCTAGCCTTCCTACTGCTTCACCTGAATTCACCTGGTTTGGTCGAAGAAGTTTTTGCAAAGCCACAGGTTGGGCACCCAGGTTGAGCACGTATTCAAATTTTGATTTGGCCTTGAAACCAGCAGAAACACTTCATCGCCGTGCCTTGATCCTCCGCCGATGAGGCTCATGTTGCTCACTTGAGGATGCTCAGTAAGTCAGCAAGGTCATAGCATGCGACAGTGAGATGCAGATGAACCCTAAGAAACCAATGGCCGGATGGATATTGTTGGTTCTATGATGGACATCAAAATGAAGTTCAAGCTACTGCGACATAGGTGTTGGCCTCAGTGTGTTGAGAGATTGATGAAAGCAACATCAAAGAACACATTGGCCTAGTGAGTGCGTTAGACTAGGGAGAACGTGGATTGATCAGTGGGCTTTACTGTCTCTTTTTACTCCTGGGCCTTTCGAGGGCTTCAGACAAACTGAAGAATATTTTTAAGCCCTTGATGCAACATGCACACGTCCATCCAAGGTGCGCAGCTGCCTTCGAATGGGTTGGAATTCTTCCAGTCACCTTCATAACGCTCGCGATGCTTCTTCTGCCAACAGTTTGGATCTGAGCCAAAGACTGGAAACCTTGAAGTTGAACCCAGCGTGCATCTTGGATCACATCACTCCCAAGATGTCTTTTGACACAAACTTCACATTCTTAAAGAACAGCGGGAGGGCAACAACAGGGGCGAACACCCCTCGCCAGGAAATTCTACTCGCTGTTTGTACCACTCGCCAGGCAACTGAGTGACGCACCTGCGCATCTGACGCACTGCATCGCTGGTGTCAGGGGCGCATGCTAGCCTACAAGACGCACCGATACGCACCGGGACATCCCATTGTCCGGGGCGCACGCTGAAAGTGCGCAAGTGAGTGTCCGCTTTTGATGAAAGTGCGCAAGTGAGTCAAAGTGCGCAAGAGAGTGAAATTTTGGGTGCGCAAGTGAGTGTCCGGCCAACAAGGGTAGGAGCTGATCTAATGGGATACGCCGAGACGCACTTATGGGTGAGTTGAGAGGTGTTGCTCACGTCGTTGCCACGATGAGAAGCAAAGCGCAACGCTACAGACCCGAGCGAGGCAAATTCAGATCATCGTCAAACCCAAACAACAGCGCTGAAAGAGCCCCTATGTTGACTGCTGAAAGAGCGAGCTTGCGAGATTGGTTATATTGGTTTTCACATCTCCGCGGCTACGTCTTGAGACCCAAACGGTCAGCGTTTCAAGACCTGTCCACAGGTCTTAGCCTTGAAAACCCCATGCGGAAAAGTCACTAGTCCTGGTTCTCGGAGGTTCCGGGTTTCCCGAAAAACGAACGAAGCACGCATTTCGCCAAGACCGACGAGTCTCTCGCCCACGACCGATGGGCGAAAGATGTGACCATCGATGTCTGCAGACGTCGACGATTCATGACGATTCCCTACCCTGAAACGCACAGAAACAGAACCCCCCCAAAAAGCACGACTTGTGAGTTGTGGTTTTGGCACCAAGGTGATGCCCCGTGCGATTCTCCGGGTCTCGTTTCACCAGAAGGCCGTCGCACCAGATGTTTCGAGGCGTAGCACCGCGTCCTCGGTGCTTGAGGCAGTGAGATGGTATTTTGAAGCTGGCTGGTTGTGGAAAGAAGACACGGCCGAGCTTTCCAGAAGAGGCTTGGTCAGTGAGCTGCTTCACTGCTTCACCCTTATCAGACAGCCATCCACTGATGGCAAGGCTCGATTGACCTGCGAATTGCCACCAAGTGTATGCCTTCACTCAGCGGCAGGTTGCGATATCCTTTACTTTGCCGAGTCTCACTGCTCATGTGCAGATGACATTGTCGCAGGCATCATGGAGGCTTGGACAATTTTTGTGAGCTAGAAATTAAAGATCTACAGTGCGTAAACTGTTCGATTTGAGCGTGGTGATTACCGATGGACTCGTTGATTCAGCTTTTGGTGCTTTTGGGCCAATGGTTTTTAGGGGTGTATCGCTCCTTTTTTGAGCTATATATATATACACATTGCAGCTACACCCATGGAAAACTCTTGGAAGCTTGCCAATGTCGGGGATGCAACCTCCTAGGAAGCCCGCACCGAGACAATCTATGCAGATAAAGACTGGAAAGTCATCAAGGAGCATTGGCTTACTGATGCTTTTGCTGAGCGTACAGCACTACTACACTGATTTTGTGGCAGGATCCAAAGATGACAGCAAATAGATTCTTGTTTGGCTTAAGGAAGTGTTGATTTGGGAAATCTCTACAAAGTTGCGAGCTCTATATAGTTTGGTATTCACACCGCTTCGCAGTCGAAGCCGCCCGCACAGAGTAAAGGGAAAACATATATACACACACATACAGACATAGACATCCATCCACGCATACAGACAGACATACATGCAGACACACATCCAGACATACAAGGGAAAAGCGTGTCATTAGCACCCTACCGGCTCGGCAGCAACCTGTGCTCGCGGAGCCGGGAACTAGCAACTTGTGCTCTCGGAGCCGGGAAGAAATGTTAACCGGGCTCAAGCGTGTCTCAGTCTGTCTATCTTGGTGCGTCTGTCTCGGTCTGTCAGTCTGTTTGTCTCGGTCGGGCAGGACACACGGACGAACACACGCACGATGTCAATTGTCTGTCTCGGTCTGTCTGTTTCGACCTGTCTGTCTCAGTCGGTCTGTCTCAGTCTATCTGTTTCGGTCTGTCTGTCTTGGTGTGTCTGTCTCGGTCTGTCAGTCTGTGTCTTGGTCGGACAGGACACACGGACGAACACAACCACGATGTCAATAATGCGATACTGGCCTGCGTAACCGGCATCGTCAACGCTTGGTCTCATTTTTATCCACTTCCAAAAAACACTGTAAAGCACAGCATTTCTAGCCCCCCAAGCTAAAGCTTAAGACTTATCACGCCCTCGGCACCTTCGGTGCGGGCGGACTTCGTCAATTGATGTCCATTTCCTTCCTGGCTTCGCGGCACTTGCGCTTTTGCGAGCACAATATCCGAGGCATGCACTACACTGCGTGGTCGAGTCACCGAGAGCTACGCACTGCTGCCGAGTTGCATCAAAGGCACATGTCTAAAGTTTTTAGCAAGAGAGAACTGAGCAAATTCTACTTCGGGCTTCATGAATGAGAAACTGCCCGGAATGAAGGCATGTGCCCCTTCTCCGGAAACTGCTGCGCGAGGGCATTGCAGCAGTGCTGACAGCACATCCAGATCTCAGGAATGTCAAATTTCAGAAAGTACAGACATTTTGGTTTATGTTCGCATGTAGGCATCTTGGTTCATGAACAGAGGTACATGGTGCACCTGTGTAGCAAACATCTCAGTTGGATCAATTTTTTCTTTTTGCAATGCAATGTCCAATGTCCAGCAGGAGTGAATCTGAAGTGGCTGTGTTTATGCACTTTCCGCCCAACATCTTCCGCCTGCATGTACATTTCGTTCCGACAAACAGGACTGGGCGCTTCATTCTCCGTTCACCCAGCCTAAACAGCTGGTGGAAACAATCGCCAACCGCAGCCTTTTTAAAGGTTGCTGGCACGAGTTGGAAGCTAGCTATGAACTGGCCACGCTTGAAGGGCATTGTGCATTTTCCTTACGTGATGTCCGTAACTTGCTGCCCGAGTGACAGGACGATGTGGGCGCCACGAGAAGAAGTTATCCAACTGATTCCACTGCTGGAGTGAGGTTCTAAGGCTGTTTGACAATCATGGAAGTGGATGGCACCCCCTGTTTGTTGCAGTGTCGGCATTCCAGGTCTTTGCAAGAGGCTTCTCCAAGTCCTGTGCTTTACCCTCCGAGCATGGTTTGCAAGCAGCTACAGAAACTGAGTGTAAATACTCAAGTTCATTGTGTGATTTCACTTTGTGAGAGTAGCCATTATGAGGACGAGGCGAGCTACGTTTTGGCACCGCCCTTTGAGCTGCAAGTCATGGGGCTGAGCCACTGCTTTCCAAGCAAGGTGGGCAGATCGCTACAGCCGGCCGATTTGAAAAAGAACGCCTCTCTGCCGACGAGCGCTGGACGAGCAGAAACGCGGAGATCGAGTTGCACTCTTGGCATGGTGAAGAGGACAAGCTGCATCATGTGCAGTGATGGAGTGTGCTTTCATGGACTTCATCAAGACAAAGTAGCACCACAGCACTGTCCTCCAAAGAGAGGATTCGGAATATTGTCGTAGTTTATTCCTGTGACGCTAGGGTGATGAGAGTGCGATGTCAGCCAGTGCATTGTGCGAGCAACAAGGAATCCTCATTGCTTGCAACAGCCACTGGTAGGATCTTTGTCTCTATTTGTGGAAAAACATGGAAAAACTATTTTGCCTGAAGAGCCTTGTGCAAGCCTTGCGCTTCCTAAAAAGACATCAACAGCTCGTCCAACATGTTGACGAGTTCAGCCCTAAGGCCGTCCACAGCTGCAGATCCGGATGAGGACCGCCAAAGACTTCAAGTATAGACGAACCGTGTAGGACCGCAACACATTTCTTTAGGCCAACTGGATAGATACGCCAAAGAGCATCACGTCCTGTTCGGTTGCACATCACGTCCACCATCCGACTAGAACCGAAGCGGTGCCGATGGTGATAGGACTTATCAAAGATGACCAGCCGTGCTGAACAAGCCGAGCAGCGTGTGGAGGCACGACGTGATTCGGTTTAAGAAGCATCAGCAAAAGATGTTTGCCAAGAAGGCATTGAGTCGCTGGCGTCTCTGGTGCATTGTGTTGACTGGGAAAGCTCAGGACAATTCAGCTGCACTCGATTTCCTCTCAGATGCTGCTGACTGTAGGTACTTGCAGCAGAGCTTGCAGCTGCATCTGCTCGGCTGGCCGAAGCAGAGGTCCGGTCGTCAACGAAGAAGCGCTCAAAACACAGACAGAGGTGTCGATGCGGCAAGCTCTTTGAGCTTGTTCGATGTTTTTTTCTTCGCTCCTGAAAGTTCTCGGCACTAGATCAGCTGGACTTCGTTCGCATTTCGATTTAGCAAACATCAGTTTGCACCATCAGGGTGGAGCAGAAGGAAGATCGAAGGGTTTCCTTTTTGGGGTGAACAAGAAGCTACTTGGGGCTCCTGGCATCGCAAAAACAAACGGAGCAAGAAGGCTACGTAGCAGGGGCTCAAAGGCGTGACGCGTGGCGCGTGGCGCGTGGCCGAAGGATGGTGCCAATGCGAAGGTGGCCGCCGCCGCTGCGAGCCTCCGTGCCTCCGAGGAGTGGAGTCGTTGGTGTTCGGTGGAGCCGTCCGGACCGGTTGAACGGTGGACCGGAAGGGGGCCCAGAAACGTCCTTTCGGTCATGGGCGAAAACGTGCATTTTCCGAAAGTGGACGGTTTTATTCTATTTTATGAGCTTATTCTATTTGGGTTTATACTTTTCTTGTCGTTTTAATACATCTTTTTAGCCCCAAAGGTTTGGCCGCCAGGAAGGTGGCCAGTAGCTTAAGTAAGCACCTAGGTAAGACGCAGGATGGCTCACGCTCAGGTTCCTAGATTTTGAAGAAACATGTGAGGTTTACATGCGGTTGCTTGTATCTCAACTTTTTGGGCAACCAAAAGGCGCCGGATTGTTGGGAAACGCAACTGAACACTGTTTCGACACAAAATCCCAATCAATCCCAAAGGAGTGAATTGCAAAGTTAAGACCCTCGAAGGGTTTGATTCTAAAAGCTGGTTTCCAGCTCCTTTCTTTTTTGGGGATTCTTCTTCCAGGCAGCGTGCCTGGCAGCAGTGGAAGCAGCTTGGAGCTTGGCATTGTTGGTGGAGTGGACTGAGTGCTGGGGTGGGGAGATGGCACCTGCGATGGCACCTGTTCGAAAGCTGTCTGACCTCTCCGATCGTGGTCAGGCCCAGGACGCCACCGAAGCACGACGACGTGTGGAAGAGGAGCTAGCAAAGGAGGCGACCTGACCTGAATCGAAAGGAAGGGACATGGGGTGAAAGAATGTGAAAGGTAGAGTCCAGGACGTGCCCACTTCACAAGCTCAGAGTCAACGCATTTACATTCTTCGTCAGGCCGCGGCTGCAAAGCGAGCTTCCAGTGAGGGCCACAACAGTGCTGTGGTTCTGCGTGTTTCCAGAAGTGATACAGTCACTAATGTTTTGCGGCTGTCTTGAGTGGAGTAGTACCAGAGCAGCCTGATCCGAGCTCTTCCATTTTCTTCAGGTAATGAATTGGCAGAAGCCGTGGTGGGCTTAGAGTGGTCAATCTTTTGAGAAAGAATGCTAGACTGAGTGGTGTCATGAAGGAAACTAGAGTCTGTGATAGAAGGGATGCTCCAAAAGTTTCGATGCTTTGGGTGATTATTCAGGGATGGACATGGGGCAACCTCAATCTTACAGAGTATACTCAGTACTCACCAGTCCAATCTCGTGTCCTTTCATTTTGACACATCTCGATCACCCGTAGTACGGCGTCGCTTTCGGATATGAGGCTGCTGCTCGTGCAGCTGTCCAGGAGGCCAGCCGTGCACAAGAGCTTGCCAGCAGGGGCCTCATATTGGGCAGAAACATGCTCTGGAGCCTCCTTGGATCTGAGACAGATCCAGTTCGTGTCTATCATTGTCTATCACTGCTTCTTCTTTGAATTAGATAGTGTGATCCTTGAATTCCCTGCTTGGATCGATTTGCATGTTAGAGTTTTGAAGTCTAGCCTGTATTGAGGATCCAGGGCATCAGCCATGCAGAAGCTGCGTGGAGATTCTCACGAGTCTGATGCTCAGAAGACCGAGCGGGAATGCGGCGCTGTTACTTTGGTCAGATGCCTAGCTTCACTGAGGAGATTTGCACATGCCAGCCTTGTTTGTGCCCCACCAGGCTTGCTATGTTGGCGAGCTGTTTTGCCACCTGGCGCCTGTGGCCAGGACACTCAGACTTTCGCAGTTTTCTTCTTTGGCGTGTTCGAACACAGACACCAGCGTTCGATGCATATCCGAAGAGGGCGGCAAACCAAAGCATCCCAAAGTAGGATGGACATCCCGGTTCACTGGTAAGGTTTCTTGCTGAGGCTGGCGGACAGTCGCATCAACTGTGCGCGTGATGCGATGGAGGAGCCTTGCTGGGAACATTTCAGACATGACTCCAAGTTCTCTCGATTCAACAAACTTGGAAGTGAAATGCAGACGAACATGGACCCTTTGAATACATAGATTGATTGAAATTGTTTGGGCGGTCTTTCTGCTTTCCTGGATGGAGGGAACCTAAGAATTGACCAATTGCAAAGCTTGCCAAGTCTTGTGTTTTTGCCAAAAGAAAGGTGCAGTGGAAGGAGGTCGGGAGAGTTGCATCTTTGCAAGCATTGAGAGCGTTCTTTTGCATTCTGATTGCATTTGAACCGCACACTCTTGGGATTGGCATACCATACTGAATCATAGTATTGCCTACGCGACACTAAGGCAAGACAGCGCGTGCGGCATGGAATGCAATCTGCCCTGAAGAGTACAGAGATTGAGGTCGGAAAGCAAATAGCAGGACAACGCTAAGAAGAAAACTAGATGGAGACTGCTGGATTCTTGCGAAGCTTTGGCAGCGAAGTGACGTATGCACATCAACTGATACGGATCAAGCTTCTCCTTTTTTCCTGGGCAGTGCGGCGCCAGGTGATGCACACGGCTTGGCGCACAGTTCTCCGTGGAAAGACCTGTTCTCACGCGGTGCAGCTGGCTTGCTTGGACCTCCCAGGTCATTGCAGCGTGGCGCACTTCCTTGTGTACAAGACGTACGGTGGGCTCCCTTCAGGCCAGTTGGGTCTCCAAAGAACAGATGCAATTGACAGAGCCAGAGGGAACCAGAGGGAAGTAAAGCAACTGAAGTCAAACCACAGTGGATTCAGCTTTCACCCGCAGGCAGCTTTATTCGCTGAGGAGGCATGAGGAGTTTGCTGACAAACACTAAGAGAGTTTCAAGTTTGAGGTTGAAAGCTGCACCTTGGATGGGGGGCAGAATAACTTAACATAATTCACTTGAAGTTTGCGCAGTTCCCCATGTTCCATATGGCCATCTCCTTTCTTGTTCCCAAAGTGTTGACACTGCCTGCCTAAGCTTGGGCTTCTTCACCCTCCTCCGCCAGTTTCGGTGTCCAAACCCTTCATGTCTGGACTCGTGAAGGGCCCCACCGTCGGGTCCGGTCGAGCCAAGTGACGACAGCGAGTCGGACTGGTGCCCGAACTCGCTGTCGGACTGGGCATGGCTTTTCGACAGCTTCTTAGGTGCTTTTTTTTCCCTTGGGCTGGAGCAGCACGTCATCTCATTTGGCCGACAAATATTTTCTGAAGACATGTGACTTTGCTGGAAATGGGTTGATGGGTGGTAGAAGCCCAGGTTGAGGTGTGTCTATATCTTGCTGAAAAGGAATTTAAACGGCGACCCCGAAAAAGAATTGTTAATGCAACATATGAAACTGCAACGGCTTCTCTCCTTTTTTCCAGACCCGGGCCACCAGGCAGACCGGGCCTCCGCGCTGCGTGCACAGAGGCGGCGCTTTGGTCGACGTCCGTGCTCGACGCGTAGACGTCCGCGCTCGCTTCGTCTCAACAGACGAGACTCGACGGCAGGAGTGAGTGCGACGTCTTGTTACTTCAAGCAGAGGCACGCCAGGGGTTTGTGTCTCTTCTTTTTGGGAGTGGGTGGAGTACACGAGTGGGTGGGAGTTTTTCCCAACTAGGATGGAAATAGCGAGTTTCACTGGATCTGTCGGTCTTTGAGGGTCGTCTAGTTCTCGTTTCATGGGAAACCTCCCGATTCGGCTGAAGCTGAGGCACGCCACCGGATTGCCTTGCAGAAGCTCAGATCTGAGCTCGCAGAAGCTCAGGCGGAGCGCCGTGTGTCGCGCCGCCGGTTCCAGACCTTCGAAGGGCGCGTCACCCGGCCACGTAGGCGAAGCAGAAGGAGGCCTCCGCCGCAGAGCGTTTGGCCCTCCAGGATGGGCAGGGGCCAGATGTGCATCCCAAATCTGACAAATTCTTAAAGCAATTGCCTTGGAAGATGTTTCAGTTTCATCTAATTTATTGACAACCTGCCATGTTCTCAGCTGTTGTTTAATCCAGCTGAGAACATGGCAGGTTGTCAATAAAATGAGGTGAAACTGAAACATCTTCCAAGGCAAATAATTTTTGACATCAATGATTGCAGATATTCAAGCATAGCTGGAGCAGCAACGATAGGTAGCCAAGCCATGTTTAAGTATGTATTCTACTTGCATTTTGCATGCACTGGCAGGCTGCGGTTCGAGCCGAGTCCATTGGCTGGCCTTCACTGGACATGCCAGACACGGAGGAGGGCACAGCCCGGGAGAATCTGCCCCCCTAACGGGGCAGCTATTTTGATGAAACTCTGTATGCAAAGTCCAACCTTTTCGTGCAGAGCTGTTGAAATCAGCCTCCTTTTGGTTCAAGACACACGATGCTACATGATGGTCACTCGGTGGCATCGCACAAGAGGTCCAGAGTCAAGAAGTTCTGAGCGGACCACTATCCATCACACATGGACTGAGTCACATAAACCAAGTTTGAGCATTGCAATGAGCGTTTGAGACAGGCACCTCAAGAAAGCATTTGGCAAACGGGAGCATACTCTTTGCCTCAAGCAGACTAATTAGTCAGTTGGACATCAAGGGGCAAACCTTCACGCTTTTCAACTGCTCATACATGGGGTCGGTGAGCAAAGTTGCCAATGGACGCTGGTGCCAACCTGCTTGCCTTATGGATGAGGCTTCCCTGTGATGCATGCTGGTGTTGCACAACGCACGACAGTGAGACGTCCAAACTTTCTGAAGCTTCTGGATAGGTCAGCCTGAGTGTACCAGCACTCCAACTTCAGACAAGGCCAAGTCATAATGTGGAAACAAATTTTCATTTGTGTTTCCAATTTCGGGTCCTCACCAGATTTGGTTGTCCCGTTACCCTTTGCTTAACCCAAATGCATGGATGAGATCTTCATCCCACGAACAAGCAATCGATGTTTTCGCTCTTGAGACTGAGGAAGGGCAACTTTTCCTAGACGTGTCCAGACATGTCCACTCTGCGGGCTGCGCAGTCTCATCACTGAAGGTTCAAGCGCCTGCTGACCACGAGCTATTCTTCTGCACTGATCTCCGGTGCGATTGCGGGCTCGCCCGACCCTGAGCAGGTGTGAAGGGGTTCAAGGTTCAACCAGTGTGTTCTTTTTTTCATTTTTTAAAATGGTTTTGCCGCTTCGGGTGGAGTCGTTTAGGTTGAGGGGATCCCAGATTTTGAGAGCAGACATCAAGTATTACTGATCATTGTTATTATCATTTTTGTTGGTAGTAGTAGACATCAGCTCTATGTTACAAAAGTAGACATCATCTCTTGGTAGCAGACATGATCTATTTGCACCTCTGAGGACCACAGAGGTGATCCTGTATCCCCTCGACTGTTTAAAGTCCTGCTGGCATGGCTTGCTGATGTAGGTCAAGAGCCTTTGCATCAAGAAGGACGTCAAGAGACTGACGTCAGTCACGTCAAGAGCCTGTGGTTCAAGAGGTTTTTACTGAAGCACAAGAAGACTCGAAGACTCTCACAAATTGACAAGCAACTTGGAAAGGGTCCAGGACCATGAGGACCTATTGGCTCAGTAGTACATGCTCAGAGGTGTAGGCAGAGACAAACCTCCCCTGCCGAATCTTCAATATCCTGTGAATCTTGAGCCTTTCGCCATGGCGCTTCAGCATTTGGCTATCTGCCTTTCATGGCTGTGGTTTGGCCATGCGACACATGCCTGAATTGAGAGAACAGAACGACCCCGTCTCATCCGTTTCGGTAACGACACGAAACCGACGGGCTGCCCGTCGGGTCCAGGATGGCTCGTGCTGGCACCATGCGAGCTGCTGTCGTTGTGAATCGAAGCTGGGATTTCAAATTCCATCTGGAGAAGATTGCAGTGATGGATTTGGAGCCTTGGTTTTGCTGCGGTTTTGGTCGTCCTTGCGGCCCTTTTGCCAAAAAGGCCAATGGGGTGCCCCTTCACCAGGTCTGGGCATTCTCAGGGTTTGCACGGAATGCGGACTTTTTCGAAGGCTCCAACAACTTTGGAGCCTGACTTCAGGTTGGTTTGTTCTGAGACTTCAATGTCGCACATCTTCACAGCTGAACGATCCCCGCTTGCCAAGGAGATTCCAAGCCCTGGTCGTGGTGAAGTATTGGTCCGAGTTTATGCGTCCAATATCAACCCAGCATCTCAACGAGCACAAAATAGCTGCATGTTCAACTGCACACAGTATCAGATACAGGAAATGGAAGAACTACCGTTGAACTACCTGAAGACATGTGAACAGTCCTTTTTTTTTCTGGGCCAAGATGTGCAGACTTCAGGTGGATCACAAGATTGTTGAATTGGCTGGCTGGAGTTGGACCTATCCTCACAAGCTGGGCTATGATGTTGCAGGTGTCGTCCAGAGTGTTGGTGTTGGCTGCACTCGTTTGAAGGTCGGCGACAGAGTCTGGGGAGAGGCCAGGCTTCGGATTTTAGAAGTCCTCATCATTTTCTTCAAAAATCTAGAAAAAGGTTGGTCACGGTTTGCCCATTTTTCAGGCTACGTCTTTGATGGAGGCACCAACAACTGCTGGAACCTACGCTCAATATGCTGTCGTATCTGAGTCCATCCTTGGAGTCAAGCCAGAGTCCATCAGTGCCAAGGCGAAAGGCAGAAATACGGAAATTCCGGGTGGAGAACTGAGAAGTGTAGCTTTGTTCCTAGCAGCTTCTTGTTCCTAGTCGTAATGCCAGGAGCTACGTTCGTAGTGTCCTTGCTCCATTGGTAGCGATGCCCTTTGCTCCGTTCGTAGCTTTGTTTTCTTATAGGCTTCCGAAGGTCTGAGATTTTCTTGGAGACATTTCGTCATTCCTCCACCAACTCGTCTTGCCTTGGGGAACCCATTGGCCCGCCTTTTTCTGTCTTCAGGGTTTCTCATGTGTCAGAGCATTCCTGGAGCAAGGTATGCTGGAGGCCGGAGCGATGCCGATGGTGGCACTCACAGGCTTGGAGTCACTGACATGGGCGGCAGGTGGCTCTCAATTTGGGAAGAACGCCACCGTCTTGGTGCTTGGCGGAAGAGACTTGGAGAGAACCGAGTTGAAGTGAGCTGGCATTGGGAGGTGTAGAGGCGGCAGCCAAGGTCTATGCCGAAAGAGGGATTGCAAGAACAGATTCTGTCAGATCCCTCCACATATCTCTTTAACGCTTGGCAAATTGCGAGAAAAGCCTCTCTTGCTGTGGACCGAAGACGGGAAGCCCTCAGGGCCGGCCATCCAAGGTGGCGGAACTGGGCACATGGGTATTCAGCTGGCCAAGGCTATTCACATGGGCCAGTGCAGCTTCCTGTTTTTTCAAAGACCTTTTCCCTCCTTTTCCCAATTTTGGCCGGTGATGCCGGTAGGATGAAAACAGATCCAAGCGGATCTCTTCACGCAGGCCATGGGCGCTTCCTGGATCATCACCACGTGCTCGGAAACTCATGTCGACTTCGTGCGGCAGCTGGGCGCGGACCAGGTGATTGAAGCTTTGGAGAATAGCTGGGACAGCTGGGGCAGCGGGGCTGGAAGGTGAAGATGATGGAAGATAATGCACACCATGAGCACCAAGGAGACGTATAAAAAAATATAAAAACCTGTTCTTTTTGGTTGCATAGTTTGTCATGTTTTGCCAGCCTGCCCTTGTGAAACTGAGGACTACCACAAGCAGAACTACTATGACGTACTCCTTCCAGAATCGGTTGATGTTGTCTACGATTGTGTTGGCCTCAACGGCACAGGTGATCATGCCTTCAACATCATTAAGAAGCATGGGAGCTTTGTGACGTGCCGGGCTCAGTCAATTTGACGACTGGCACGTTGAGCCCATTCGCTACTCTTCTTTGCTTTGAGAACACACATCCAGATTCTGCTTCTACTCTTCTGTGAGTGGACCTGTCAAACTAAGTCGCCTCCCAAGACATGTTGCCCATGATAGGCATACAGCTACCTCCATCTTTTCTAGCGAGTGAATCTCAGGCTGTTGCAGGGAGCGAAAGCCTCAATCTCCACGAGACTTCAGCGACCTGATGTACATGAGTATGCGCCCAATTGTGTCGGAACTTGTTCACAGCATCAGCGAATCGATACTGCCGTATGCCCAGCAATGTGAAGATTATGGCAGTAACAAGGTGCTTTTGTGGCTGAAAGGCTTGAAAGGTAAAGACCAATTGATGGCGCAAACAGTATACCATAAAGCTCAGGTCGCATCCTTTGTGAAGGAAGGCAAGCTGACAGTACACATCGACCAAGTGTTTGGCTTGGAAGATATTGTGACGCGGCACAAATAGAAGTGATATCAAGGTCCTGACGACACCACAGCAATTTTAACGCACTTGATCTAAGATGTGAACCTGCGACAGGTCAAAGCCTTCAATCAATCGCTTGCTGGACATACGACTGGAAAAGTTGCTCTCCAGATTTTGGGCAACGAGTCTGAGATTCTCGTGTAATCTGAGACATCGTGACGATTGGTGCGTCCTTGGCCCAAAAAAAGGGGCGGTTGGTTCCAAAGACGCTCTGTCGCTCTTGCAAGAGAGAAGAGAATTGTCGTGGCGATGATCATCGCGAAACCAAGTAGACTGCAAGGGTCGGCTGGCCAGGACTCGCAGGCAAAGCTGCTGTGCTTCTCCAACAAGGGGACTGCAGTCAGAGAGCCAAGAATTGACATTCTTTTCCGAAAACGAGCGCTAGCCGGCTAGCCCTTCCCCAAGGTAGCTGAATGCTGAGGACCAAAAGATTAAACACCACCCATGTTAATCTTCCCGGTGTAGGATTTCCAACCTAGGCTCGAGTTTTGATCCCCAAATCATGGCCGATTTTTTCGATGCCAAGGGATGATGTGGCTGTGGGTCAAAGCCTATCATGGTTTTGGAGGGTTAGAGAAGAGAGAATGAATGAGAATACTTTTCAAGAATAACAATGGAATCTAATAAGCGTTGGCCGTCAATCTAGTAGCAATGGCTTTCAACCTAAGAGCGAGGTTATATAGGTTTTGCCACGAATTCTTCACCTGTTGCTCACTTGCAATTTTCTTGGCCGGAAGCCTCACCGAATAGCCCATGTGATTAGATAGTGATGGAATGGGTGCTCAGGTTGTACCGCGGCTGTGGCATAGCACTTGCAGGCATTGCTGTGTGTGCAACACACTTGCATGGCTTGGATTGCCGCTGTGTTGATAGGCGCTGCAACCGCATCGGCTGTCTTCTTTGTGACATATGTGTCTCGGTTGTCTTCTTTGCCCTTCTTGGCCCGACAGTAGTGGTGCTTTTGTGCTCAGGAGTGTATGAAGAACAGGCTCCGCTTGGGGGAGGTGCAGCCATCGAATTGTTCAAAAACAGCTTCTTGCTACTAGTAGCGATGCCCTTATTGCTAGTAGCTTCTTCGCCAGACGTCGGAGCGCTCCGGGAAGCTCAGTGGCCTGCGGTGCAGACCTCGGTGCAGACGCTCCGTGTTTGGCCTTTCAGCGCCGAAGCGGTTGGTAGACGTCGGTGCAGACCGATGGGTTTCTCCTCCACCGTCCGAAGGGTTAAGGCTATTTTTCAAGAATTCTTACCCTGTACCTACATGAAAACTGTGGATCTGAACATTTGTAGGACCTACGCTGTCCAGGTTCACCTGCAGTGTCATGGGAGCGTCCGTCGCCGGAGAATTGGCGGCATCAGTGGTGCGGGTGCCGGTGGTGCGGGTCCTCAGCGGGCCGCAGTTGCTTGATCCAGCGAAGGGCCTTCGGTGGGTTGGTGGCAATGTCCGCACACGTCCATGTCAAAACCCGGCTTCGCGTTCAGCTTCAGGGGTCGACCAGGGTGGAGTTTGAACGTACCTGGACTTGCAAGTTTTGCGCAACAGTTCATGTTGGACTTCTCAGGACTTGATGAAGCAGCGATTGCAGGTGGGTGACACTTGCTGAAAAGCGCGTTGCTTCAGGAGTGAAACATACCAACTGACCAGCTGCTTGGAATTTGCTGCCAGACTGGATGTTTGGCCTTGCCCCTCAGCAGCTCCATCATTTTGGCGTCATTCCAGGCTCCAGTAATTCTGACTGGAGCTGTTCTTTGAGTTCAGATTTCGCCTCCACACCAGGCTATGTGTCAAGATCAGCCTCCAAAGAACTTATCGGCCTTTTCAGTCTTGCCCCTTTTCCTGCAAGTATTCTGAGACAGCCCCTGCTTGTGCACTTCAAATCACAGGTCTTAACAGCTTTAGGGCCTCACAAATAGGCCTACAATGGCCTACGCATGGCTAAAGACACGCAAAAAGGCAAGACACTCCACCCCAAACTCGGCCAGGCCACCGCTCTGCGGGACGCATGCCAGAGCGCTTCGGCCGGAACGGTGGTGGGTTCCGCTGGACCGTGACTCGGGATGGATCTTCCGGTGGGTTCCGCAGCGTCTCCAAGAGGGGTTCTGTGTGTCCCGTGCACAAAACCACCAGAAATCAGCATGAGACTATGTACATTTTAAGGATTTGATTGCACAAATCAGTTGACCAAATCAGCTAGTGAAGCTGGTGCATGCTGAGATCTTACGCTCTTCATCAACATGATGAAACATCCAAAGAACACGCTGGCATGTCGGCGCCGGCAGCAGGGTTGGCCCTGCGTCATTGGCCCAGCTCGGGTTGTCTTCAGTATCCGCTGTATGAATGCTTCAAAATCGTCCGGTGACTCAGTCACATGTGATCGTGAACACTGTGAACAAGTTGAACAGATCTATCACGAAATCCATGAGTTGACTGCAATTGGTCCACTCGTTCCAACTGTGGCATCCGACTCTTCGCTCGTCGCCGCGACTCGGGACCAAGGCTGCCAGCAAATGGGTCTCGCAAGGGGATGCAGAACATCTTCCAGTGGGGCATGGGCCTCGGTGCCTGGAAGAAGTGAGCATGAGGACTTCTTAGCTTCTCATTAGCTGGTTTGGAGAAGCCGTTTGGACCAGCTTCAACTTGAAGTCTTGAATCATTACAGTATATATATATATAATATATATATATATATTATATCCATTCACATCCCTGCTCTGGGCTTCATTTTCCTTCTATCCCACAGGGTGGCCGCAGTATGTGGCAGTGCTGCGGGCTTGATCTCCGCTACGTACGGCTGTCAGATTGTGACAGTCAGACTCAGTCAGACTGGTGGGTTTCTTTCAGCGCCACAGCTGGGTAGGTTTCCCTTGGTGATCAGGTTCACCACTCCTTTCGACCTGCTCAAGACGCGCGTGAATTTGAGGCCTCTTGAAAGGTATGTGTGATCTTCAAAATGAGAAAACCATTGAAACGAGGCACTCCCAGGCGACGGACAGGTCGGTATTTTCCCGAGCTTTGGCCCCAAGGAGGAGCAAGGGCGACCGCACAGAGACCAAGATGAAGGTCGAAAGCTGCACCGCTTGAGAAGAGTGAAACGACCCAACATGTCCCCTGAAGGAAACGCTTCATGACCTGAACATGCTACACTGTTATTGTATTTGCAAATTCCTTGTGAGATGCTGGAGGAGTTGCTTTTCGATGAAGTTGCTCGAGTCTATCGGTGCAATGGCGGGGTTCCTACGCAGATGATCCCCCCCTCAGACTTCAGCATATGGAAGGCTAGACTGTGCTCAAGCGGCGCCAGCACGGTGCAGAGGTTCCGAGCACGGTGACATCTCTTTGACATTTTTCTACGCATGTTTAAGGATGCTTAAAGTTGGGGATGGAGAGTTCACCTCAATCCCATTAGGTCATCACAAAACCCCAGATAGCCCAGTCAGACTGGACAACGCATCACTGTGGCAGTGCCTGCATGAAACAGCAACAGCAATGCCTTGAAACGGCACGTATCCTCACCGCTTCATCACCACCAATATCAGCAATTCAGATCAATTCAGCACCTCCTAGATGTCTTTCCCTATAAAACCTCCACCATGACTCTGCCGCCTGCCATTCTCTCCAATTCAAGATGTTTTTCGTCAGCAGTTCAATGAAGTGCCCTGGGAAGAACATAAAACAAAAAACCAAACCTGAATTTCCTCAGGCTGGCGTGGATTCTTCGTCGGCGCCGGCTTCAGGGCGGCCCCTTGATTGCAGTTTCGCATTCGGCTTTTCGTCCGATCCGTTGGGATTCCGAGACTTGGGCGCCAACAGTCTTCGAATGATCAAGGCTTGGATGTCCTTGGGAGGCTTTGCCGGGAGCCTAGAGGAGCCGGATGCCGGCCAAGTCTTCGTTGATCGTTTGTGAGGGGTTGCGACCGCGAGGGAGCGACAGCCAGCCTCGTTTGCACCCTTAGAGCCTAGGTGGGTTTTCATTTCGTTCGGCTAACCAGATTCCCTCGGCAGTTAACTTTCCAATGTGACAAGCTGGTGGCAAGTTTCGGAACATGTGTCCGTTGAACATATTAATATGCCAGAGGTTCTTGTTCCAGGATTAGATTCGCTGAGTCTTGCTTGGCTTTCCGTCTTGCCGCCTTACTTATCTTACTTGAGCAAAGGCCCGGCTTATCTCTTCGCCTGAAGTGACGGGTCTCGACCTTCCTATTGCGCCCCCGCCACACAGCCCACACAGAAGCTTTGGCTGAAGGAAGTGGCCCGAAAAGGTCCCAAGAGGTGTTTGGACTGTCCACACCTGCTGTTTGGCGGATCTCTACCGTAGCGTGGAAAAGTTCAAACATGTTTATTCATTTTGGCCACTTCCTACAAACCTTGACAAATAATCTTCAAGTCTTTCTATTCAAAGAAAGGTCAAGTGCTGTTCACCAGAAATATCAGCCAGGACAGACATGTCATTGTAGATCTTTAATGACAACCAGAGTTGCCAGTTGCCGGTGATCCGCATTGCTGATCTTGTCTACGAACTTGCATAGTGAATAGACATCATCATCATCATCATCATCGTCATCGTCATCGTCATCGTCATCATCATCATCATCATCTTGCCGTGTTCAGAAAACGCCTCTCTGTGCTTGAGGAACATTTCGTTGCGTTGGGCAAAGCGTTGCTCAGAAAGTATTTTGCATTGCAATTTTTGTGCTCAGACAGGACTTGTATTGTGACAGCAATACGTTGGTGGTGGATGGGGATGGATTGGGATGGTTCTCGTACCTTTTTTCCAACATGCTTGGTCGAGGTTCCGGGCGGCTAGCTGCTTTCGTCCCGCACAACTACTTGTTGTCCGAACAAAACTGGCTGCTTTCTGAACAGAACAACCTGTTATCCGAAGCACGTTCTAATTCGGATAGCTTCATTTTAAGAACAAAAGCCTTCAGGCCTTCATCGCCTTGATTGGCTGGGATCTCCTTTGCTTACATCAAATCTTGGATAAAATGAAACAGGGCCACGCCGCAAGCCCCGGGGGTGACGATTGGTATGCCAGCAAGATTCTCCCAAGAGGTGGCCAAATCATGCTAGAATGGATGGTCCACCATGCTTGAAAAAGCTCGACAGTTCTAGGCAATGGAAAAAAAGATGAAAAAAGGGGGGGTCGATACCGGCAGAAAATAGAACCAGAAAAGAGATCGATTAGTGCTAAAACAGTTCATTCAACTTGCTGCGGATTGTGCTTGGCCAACACTTTCAAAGTCGAGCTTGATACATGCATCCCACAGCTCGTTGATACAGACTTAACGATCTTTTTTTCCCGAAATACTTTGATTGATTGACGACAGGGAACCTTCCAGTCCACACAGATAGGATGTGGTGCGACATATCGTCTTCAGACAATTTGCTTCGTGTGTTTGTTCTTGTGCTTGCGCACTGGGCCAGCAAAAGAATGGAAATGCCACACTAATATATCAACATAGCCTTGCTGCATCGCTAGCATTTTTCAAATTGTATCAACCACCCTTGGCATCCAGATGAAGACAAAGCCATGAGTGGCCAAGGAAATAGGACTCAAGGAGCTTCTCTCTTTTTGCTGGGCTTGTTGGTTGAGGTCTTTCTTGGGTCTTTCGAGCTGGCCAAAAGCAGCCTGGACTCGATGCGCACAATGTGAGAGGCAGGACGTGGTGATTCTAGAGGGCCTGTCTTGGAATGTAGAATGTAGAGGGTGGCTTGTCTTGGAAGTTAGCCAACAGGCAGTTCTTGGTAACCTTACAGGGGAGAAGTTCTTGCAACAGATGCCAAGTGTGCTTGCCTATTTGTTGTTGGGTCACGAAGACAGGAAAAAGCGACCGACCTTGACATCAAGATCTAGCCGGTGGACGCTGAGAATTCATGTTGGATAGTTTAGAGTTGTTCAGACACTTGGACAACCATTGTGCACCGTGCTACGGTTGGGGCACACAATCCCATCTTGTCTCCAATCTCACCCATGGTCAGTGAGCGACAAAGCGTATCACAACTTGCCGATAGGAACTGTTTCAAAGACAAAGTGGCAAATGCTTGCTGCAACAAATCAATGATGCAACAATCAGGCGACGTGTAAATTGGAGACAACATCGACATTTTCTAAGCTTCGTCTTCACATGCTGACCTCATGACGTGTTGTAGCTTTGATTGAGGTAGTGTACCAGGTTTACTTCAAGAGAGGAGTTGGAGAGGCAATTCTGTGAAGGGGACATTTCCGAGGCGAGAGCCTCCAGCCTCACACAATCCACTGTCAGCGATACTGGCAGGGAGACGATCTCTGCTATTGATGCTGATTGTCAAAACGTGGGCTAAACCTGCAATGCATTATAGATGGATGAGCATTGGAACTGCTGCTCACCGATTGTACACAGCTCAGACTGCAGTGACACAACCTTCAAGGCCCTGGTCACTGTCTGGAGATTATTACTTGTGTCCATGGAAGCGCTTTAGTTGGGTATGGCTATGGCCTCTCGTAGCTACGCCTTCAAACGAAATGTGATCAATAAAAGCCTTGTCAATTTCAGTGTTGCTGAAACCACCGAAGCGCGGCTGGGACGCAGCAGCCCACATGTGCGGCTATGCCAACTCAGCCTTTGAGCTGCCCCCAGTTTTTCGTTGGCACGTTTTTGTGGCTGGGAGGTCTCCATGGATCATGAATGATCATGCGCAACGACCCCCTTTGCTGACATGTTTCGACGACCCCCTAAGCAAAGAGGTGACGTGTTTGCAGACCTCCCACACGCCTTCGATACTTATTTGCACTGCATTTGATGTCCCACTGACAGGTGCAGTGCCCACTGCCAAGCAGAAAAAAAGGACTTAAAAAGACACTGATGTCATCCTCATTTGGCCGCACTGATGTCATCGGATGATGTCCCTTTGTGTGCGCAAAAATCGAGTGGTTTGTCGTTGCTGCCACGGACCGAGCTTTTGACGGTGCCGCCACGGACTGCGCCGAAGCCAGGATGGTGCCGCCACCGAACATCCATCTTCACCAGAAACAGAGTGAGTGGCTCGAGCGCCGCTTCCAGTCGGGCTCGTATTTCCAAAAGCCACAGGTGGCTTGGCAAAGAAATGGCTCCCCATCCCCCAACGATATTAAAAAGAACGAAGATGGCCCTTTTTTCAGTGGGAGACTAGGGACAGCAAAAAAGCTTTAAGCCGTTTCCCATGCAAATGCCAATTTGATTTGCCACCATTTATATATTCCCCCCAAAAGGGTGCCTCCAGGTTTCAGACCAATCAGAAGGACCATCAGGCTTTGCCGCGGCCAAGAGAGAGTAGTCGAGACAGTTGCAGAAAGTCCGTATGAAGAAAGCCTTCCCAGTGTGGAAGGCATCTCCTCTCGATGCAGAGCAGCATTCATACCTCACACTGGTTCAAAGAACTCAGTGAAGGTCTGAGAATGAGATACACATGGCATTGAAATTAGAGCGTCATTCAGGTACAACTTTTCATGTTGGCCCCCAAAGCTTTAACCAACTTTTGCTGCCAATGTTGTATCCTCATTTGTGCGCCTGGCGTTTCACCGGAGATTGAGCAGCTGCGGACACAGGCTGGGACCTTAGAGTGTCCAGTGAGGAACCAACTACATTAACCTTAGAGGTGGCTAGTTTACTGAAGTAATTTGCAGAGGAACGCAGTGTCAGACGTATTATGGTTGTTATTTCCTCTTTTGCCAAGTGCTTGATGCCCTTTTTTGAACCCTGACCGGGTATCGGTGACAGGTTTGGAGTAATGAGACATCGGTCTTTTTGCCGAGGCCCAGTGCGGTTTGTGAGGCTGATGGTCTGGGCGCCGCAGACTTAGCAGTCACAGTTCTTCAGTACAACGGGTTAGGGGAACGTACTAGCGGCCTCCAACCTACTAGCGGTGGCCTCCAAGCTAAGAGCGATTCTACCTCCAAAGTTTCTGTCTCAATGACTCAGGTTCTTCTAGCGGATTCTCATCGCTTGAGCCACGGATACACAGGACCAAGCCCAATCTCTCAAGGCGTCCTGTGGTCCGGGTGAAGTGTTTGGAATCACTGTGAATGAAGTTTCTGCTGGGGCAGTTTCTGAGCCAAACTCTCCGTAAGACACGGATTCAGATTGTTTGGCTCGGACCGGATTCTCAATGTGGTTTCTTTGACCAGTTGTACATGGTCGGTTTCTGTTGCGGTGGCAGCAGAGCCAGTGGTCCAAACAGCTACCTTCAACAAACATGGTATTGCCCATGACAAGTGTTCTCATCTTTGGACTCAAATACCAGCTCATTCTCAAGATCGTATGCACCGGAAGCTGCCCTATGCCTTCCAATGTGGGGGGACAGATCATCCTCGAAATCCTGGTGGTGCTTCGACTCGACTTGAGCCGACTTCAAGGCTTTTAATTCTTGAAAACCAATGCAACAACTCTTTTGATTCCCTCAACAGTCCATTTCTCAAAGGGTATGCCCGTATCGGCCATGCATCATGAGGATGATGTCGTGAAGCACTGTTGCCTTGGATTTTGGCATTCGGGGGTTCATGGACAGCCCTGATATGTCCAAGGAGTCCAACATGAGACAATGGTTTTCCAATGGTTCATGCGATCAAACGCAGATTTTGGACAGATCAGGATGGCTGGTCCAATCTGTTCATGTGGACAGTGAAAAGTGGCAATTTCAAAAATTGAGAGCTGCTCAGAGCTGAAGCTGTTTTCTAAAGATGAGAGCCCAACCTACTAGTGATGGCCCCCAACCTAAGAGCGATGGCCTCCAACTTAAAAGCTACGTTAATGGGTTGTTTTTGGTGCCAACTTGGCCTTCTGACGCTTTCTGCAAAGCTGTGGCGGCTCAAATGAGACAGATTCAGATGTAGAGCAGCTCAGATAGTACATGACTGGATGATACAGCAAATACATCTTTCCTTAGCATTTCGGAAAGAGACACGTCTTGGGGTCCCAACAGAATGAACCTGCGTTGAGGGAACAGTCAGAGCCTTAGAAGCTGGACGCGAGACAGGGATTCAGGATGGACTTTCATTGCCAAGGAGACCAGAGTAGGTTCGTTGTCATGGTTTGATTCCACGAATGGCTTTGGTGACATACTTGTTGTGTTCAAGAGCTGACAATTGACAGTTGGAACTTGGCATTGCAGATCACCATGGAGACTGGGCAGCGAGATCAAGGTTTGAAGGCAACTGCTGAAAGCTGTTTCTTTCCCATTGCGACTCCTTGGCATCCATGCCTTTGACCAAGTCGTAGTTCACATCCACATCAGTACGTCCTGCAGGTGATTCTTGTTGAGCATGCATGAACGGAACCGCTGCTGAATGTGTTGTAAACTTGTTTTGCGGCTCACAGCAGTAAACTGGAAGCAGACATAAACATCGCATGCGGAACACACCACTGACGAACGACAGGATCACGCCAGATGCACTTCAAGAACGGAAAGGGAAGTTCCTCACCACTGAAAGGTCCCACTCTGTTTGCCTGGTTCCAAAAGTGAGACGCCACACGCAACAAGATCACAGTGGATCATGGAAGTGTCTGAGGCCAGCTTGCAAAACAGCTAAGCGAAGAAAGAGAAGAAAGAACCTGACCTCTCAAAGTGCAGACCCTGCTTTTCAAACTCTATGCGTTCTTGCAAGGTTCTCTCGTTTGAGACGCTGCCTCGTCGCTTGGATCATTGCCAGGTAAATCCATCTAAAGCACTGATGTGATGTCAAATCATGGATCAGACAACACAACTGCCCCAAAGACCTGTGCACCTTGTTGTGGCCTTCGATACCAGCTCGAAAAGAAGCTATCCGACCGCCCTGTCCAGCTTCGCTTTCCTTCCAGCTTCGGCTGGATGAACGGAGGTGAACTTCAGGTGACGAACGAGGCGGTCTACAACGATGCGGTGCGAGTGACCAAGGCTCCGGGACAGTTCGTTGGCATCGATCCATGTGGGAGGGACGCGGGAGAGTGGCCTGGAATCCGGAATCCACTCGTCTGGGACTTGGTGGGACGTCCAAAGAAGGTGAACTTTCTTTTGGACTTTTACCTAGTTTTTTGGAGAGATGTCTGCAGTAGAACTTGGAAAAGATACTTTTGGGATGTTAAAGTTAGAATTTCTAAGAGAGAAGAGACATGGAATGGCATGCCCGGCCCTTTGCAGATCTTTTCCGGTATCTTCTTCTTTGGACTGGCGGCGTGGCTCAGCATGGCGAATGGCACCAAGCTTTCCTTCATTCAGCAGGCGAGCCATGGCGAGCCATGGCGAGCCAGGTCCTGGCAAAACGGTTGAGACGTTTTGACCGTTGACCGTTTGCTGCTTCCGGTGGAACATGAAACAGGCAGCCTTGGAGAAGCGTTTGACCGTTTGCTGCTTCTTGGGCGTCCGGAGCTCCAGGTCTCACAATTTGCGAAAGATCACATTTTTCTCAAACAAGTTCTTTTTTGATTTAAGGGGGTAGGCCGCTAAGAGCTAGGTAGTAGCAAGGGAGGTAGCTAGTAGAAGCTAGGTAGCTAGTAGCTTACTTAAGCTACTAGTATGGATGCAGGATAGCTCACGCTTCTTCAAGGAAGCTCCCCCGCCGCCCCAAAGGCGGCCGCTTCCTTGAAGGAGCACTCGCACTATTCATTTGGTCTGGCTGTGTCTGAGGTCTACGTGGGCGCTTTCTCAGCATTCTTCAACTTCTTCCAGCTCACCGAGGTTAGATTCGTTGCTTTCAGACGAGTCGTAGCCCTCATTGAATATGACATGAGGTAGGCAGCTTGATTAATTGATCAACCCATATGAAGAGGTTTTGCAATCCAAAGGGGAGTTCTATCAATCAAGAATCGTTTACATTATTCCTCAGTTTGATTGACCTCAGGTGGATGATATTCTGCTGGATCGAGCAAGCTCCTTCACTTTGGACTTTTCGCGTCCTTTGGATTCTAGGCACGAAAGCTGTCTAAAAGCACAACCAACCAACCAACCAACCAACCAACCAACCAACCAGCTTGGAACCGGTTTGGATCCGCAGAATTTCAAGGATCTCCTTCGGATCCGGAGTCCACGGAATTTGGTTGGGCCTTTCGATTCCCCAAGGAGTGGATCATGACTTGCCCGCTGATGCAACTGGCTTTGGTGTTAATGGGCGGCTCTCGGATCCCGGAGTATCGCCGCATGCTGATGCCTGGCTTGTGCCTGGGCCGGAATGACCAAGCTCAGAGTGTTTTGATATAGCAACTCTTTTGTTCACAACTTTCTCAAACTCTTTCGGTGGATATGATAGCAACTCTTCCAAGCGTGTTTTCCCGCCGTTTTTCCGGTTCCGCGGTTGCGTAGGTCGGTGGCTGTCCTTGTTTGCGGCACTGCATCAATGCTTCTGTTCGACGTTTGGGCCTGGACGCCCAGATGCCCAAAGGAGCAGACATGGGCGAGAGACTTTCAGAGTATCTTGGGCGAGTGTTTTGTTGCCGCCGTGAGGTCTATGTGGCATATGGGGTTGGCATTCTCTTTGCTTCAGTTACTTTGCGAGACAAAGTGGCCATGTGTTTTTTGATGTTTTTAGCGCTTCTTGCAACATGCCTCTCTGCTAACCTTTTTGCAGGTGATGTTCTTCCTGAATCGCTTGCAGATCATCGAGCACAGTGATGGGCAGGAGTGTCTGATGCCTCTCGGCTACCTTTCCAAACTCAACATGCAAATTTCGGATTTGCAAGCATGTGGCAGAGCATGTGACTTCAATGCATGAACTTGTACTGCAAGCTTGAAGTGTTTGAACACATGTGCAGCTCATGCTAAGGTATGGTGACTCCGAGTCTTTTGCATGCAGCTAGTTTATGGGTAGCTGTCTGCTGAGCAAGAGATGACCACTGTCATGCGTCTGTACAGGTGTCTGTCATGCGTCTACATGTCTGTCATGCAAGCTCTCAGGTTCCGCAAAGCATCGATCTTGCTGATCGTGACGTGGATTCCCTTTCCAACCTTCTATGCACTCTCGCCCGAGGGCTTCGGAATCTGAAGCTGCACCGGGTGTCGATCACACCCTGTTCGAATGGTTCGTTTGAGTTCGTGAAACGAAGCGCACGAAACCCAAAACAGTTTGCGAAACGAAGAAACGTCACGCGGTTCGGAGCGAGCTTAGTGCGTGTGAGATGTTTTGGGCCGTGTCATGTGGAAACACTTGTGACACAAAAGGAAGGGTGCAGTTGCTGAAGCAAAGATTCGTTTTATTGCGGCAAAGAATGGTTTGACTCCACTCCTGAAGTCAAGGAATCATCAACGACGTCCTCTTTGTCCAGGCAGCTATGCTTGATTGACCTTTGACAGAGGGGCAGCGGGCAGAATGAAAAAGCTCATATTGCAGGTGTATGAATAACTAAAGCAAACAAACCAGCCGTAGATTGCGAGGGCAACATCTGAAGACGGCAATTGGGATGACTTGTAGCCAATCAAGTTTGGACACCTAATGAGCACAAGATTGGCTTCACGAACGCTTCACGATTGTCAAGATGCCCGACCAACCTTATTCAGAGAGAAAGATTGTAAATCCCTCTATGAGATTGTCAAATTTACCAAGAAGCATTGCTTTGCCAGGGACCACATTTTGACTACACAAGCAGAAGCCATGTGAGAGCTGCAGCATAGCGGATTCAACGTCAGTGGTTCGCTGCAGAGATTGACCCGTCAAAGTTGAAGTCGTTGGAACGTATCAACAGCCGCAGAAGTTTGAACGCAGAATCAGCAGGTATCAGCAGCGCGCTGGTCACACAACGTATACAGTATATATCATATGTACATACAGTACACATATAGTCATAGTACTTGTACATGTCGCAGTGGCAGTTGTGGGGGTTGATAAGACTCTGTTGCAGTGCAAGTTATTTGCATTTCGCAGACTAGCATGTTTTGCGACCGATGCTGACACTTCTTTGGTGTGTGGGCTATGGGCTGTGGGCAGGTTGGCTGGGCCTTTCTCAATATAGTTTCCAAGTTCACCTTCATTTTCTACATTCAAAGGATCAAGGACAGCGATTGAAGCAATCTAATCTACCGGTTTTGGCAGAACTGGCCCAATGGCGACAGGACAACTATTGCAACAGATTGAAGGTGAAACGCGAGTTCGCTGGAGTGCAGAGTGCTGCTCCAAAAGGCATCGTGCCCTTAGACCCCAGCACTGCTGCTTTCGGAGACCAACATTGTCACCTGCAAGACTGTAATAAAGTGCATTGAGCAACTTTGAAGCCTCAACGTTGACAACACTTTTTGCCATGTCCATGTTCGCCATTGCAAGCAGTTTCGGGCAGGCCCCACTGTGAATGCTGATGGCACCATCACTCCACCCCTGTCTGGCATGGCCTTGGCACAGTCCAAGCAAGCTGCAGCTTGGCATTCTTTTGATCATTCTGTAACAATCTATATAATCATATGGGTCACAGTCGAGTCTAAAACTTGGTTGGTTTGATGGGCGTCCACTCTAACAGGACTTTTGTCCCAAAGGGAGGGTTGCTGCTCTGGAGTTTGGACCTTGCACACATGTCCAGTTTGTGGTTTTTGACCTGCAGCATGACATTTCATCGACTTCAGGAGAAGGCCCAGAGCGAAATGGGTGCGCTTGTGGTCGAGACCATGTGGCCAAACTGCAGTTCATCCTGTGCATCAAGAGTTTTGAACCTGTTTCATTGTTTCATCAGTTTGGAGCATTGTCCCTTGGGGATCGGTCCTTTCTTCAGAGTAAGCAGGTGGTTTATCCGATAGGATTATCCAAGGATGAGGTCATGTCCGAGGGTTTTTGAGTGTCACGTCCTGGCGGAACAAAACAGGAACTTCCTGGGGATGGCGCAGAACTCGGAACGCTTTCTGCGGCCCGGAGGCCCAGCGGAGGCCGATAGGAGGCCGCTTTCTTCCACTCCCCAACCTCGAATCAGCTTGGAGTAGATATATAGCAATCTGCACCATTTTTAAGCACCACCTGTCATTTTCCTGCTTTCCACTGCTTGTAAAGGATGATGAGGATGTTTCAAAGTCTTTGATATCATAAGTTATAGTTATATTCATAAAAAAAATTATACATAATTTTGACTTTAACATCATTTCAATATGCCAAGACCGTCAAGCCTGTAGTACCAGTCGATGCTATTTTGGACTGAGGTTGCTGCAACACTCAAATGTGACTTCGCTCCGGCATTTGGAGTGTCTCTCCCAGGTGCGTGCCTGATTGAGGGGGTTGATATGAGTTGATATGTTCACACCAAAAGGCAATGTAGGGATATTCCTTTGTGTGAGCTTCACCGACATCATGGGCAGATTTGTTTGCTGCAGGATGAATGTTTGAAGCTTCAGCTGCCTTGGGACCTTGTCGCGGCAGTTCAAAAACGCTTACGGGACACTTGGTGAAGCAATCTTATTGCTTCTCGCTGTTCTGTGCGCCAGTTTCTGATACGCTCATTGAGTGTGAGCTTTCTCAGGTCTGGAAATTGGAGATGCAGGACTCGGGAGACATGTTCGGATGCAAGGAATTGGGGCAGCCTTAGGTGCCAAGTACCTACCAATCATCCACAGTAGATGGCAAGGAAGCACAGATGGCAAGGATGGACGTATGTCTTCGCGAGCTCGCGACAGGACGAAGCAGAGCTTGCTTTGGAGCAGGGTGAGCTCCACTACCAAATGGAGGCGCAAATGGCAGTCACCACAAAGAGCTTTCAAATGCATAACACTATAGAAAACATTTGTCCACTGGCACTAAAGCAGAGCAGCATGATGCAGCATGCGACTTTAACAGGAGCCTGTGAATCCGCTCAAGAACTCTACCTTGGTTGACAAGCTCCATGCTGTACAGGCAGCAGGCCAGGATGTTCTAAAGAATCATGGTTTGCCTTGGTGAATGGCCCGAGAAGACAGCTAAGGAGGCTACTTGTTTCACTGTAAGCGAGGTGTACACAAGGGATCACAGGGCATGCGTTGAATATGTGGCCTAAGTTCAGACCATGAAGTGGCTGAAGGTACTCAAAAGCCACCTTTGTTAAAAGTCCTTGGTTTGAAGCCTCAAGTTCCCAGTTTTGAACTGCTCTCTTCAAGCTGTTTGGAATTCCTTCCTTTCCAGGACAGGAGTCGCACCCGCAAGTCCAATACGCACCCCCATTGCCAGCGCTTCAGAGCGAGCTTCAGCCAGAAAGGCTAGTATTTTTCTCATTGGTCTCAGTCAAAAGAGCTCCAACAGTCAAAAGCAGCATGACTCACGACTGCTTAGCACGGTCCAAGCTTGTTTGCTGAGGCCCGGCATGGTGGCAGATGACTCGCGCATTCAACGCATCGAGGCGCTCGCGCGGCAGTGCCGCTGTTCGAGCAGTGCCGTGATTCGAGCAGTTTCGGGCCAGTGTCGGGGCCAGGTTTTGGTGTTTGGCATCTTTTTTATGTTTTGACCAAGAGAGGTGCATTCTGTTTTCAACGGGAGCTCTGACATTGCCATATCATCATATGATTATATACTGTACCTAAAAGCAATTGGCACAACTAGCAGGCCTAGGTAGAACCTATGTTGCGTCAGGAAGCCTTGACAGCCATGCAGCAACAGAACGAATTCTTCCAGACGGAGATTCTGAAGAGGCTGTCTGAACAGCCATCACCTTCGCATCAGGTTTCGCCACTTGGCTGAGTTGGTCCCTGAATCAAAGACTTCTGGCGTTGGTACGTGTCCACACGACCAAATTCTGTTGAAGCTCTTGCTTGCATCGACCAGTTGGCCTATCTCAAGCGTGTTAAGCATGTGTCAAGAACAAATAGAGCCCAAGAGCTGACGATGGACTGATAGACTTCTTCCGGAAGCTCTGCTGACGGCTATGTCTGACTAGAGACAGAGGACATTTACTTGACTTCTTCTATTTTAAGGAATACCGGAGCACCCCAAACTATTGCACATCCCTCTTTCTTAATGCACTCCACTTCTGACTTTTCTACAGGCGTCCGCTCGTCCTTCTTTTCTTTAAGGCTTCACAAAAGCCCTGAACTACCTATTATGTGCTCTGTTTACGCTCAACGAACATTCTATTCTTTTGCACCTCAGTCGATTCTCGCCAAACATCCACCACGCAAAGACGCTTTCACTCGAGCTTCCAGTCTGCTTCTGTGGCTGGATTGGAACGAATCAGACCTGGATTGAGCCAAAGAAGTACCCGACCTATTCCGGCCGGAATTTGGGTCGGGCAATAGACACTCAAAAAGACAACGGTGTCGGACACCTGGAAAGCGACATGCTTCGATCGGGTGTTTGGAGCCTAGGAGTCCAAGTGGCAGCTTGAAGCAGACCATCGAAATGACGGTGCAGGCAACGCTCAAGAATAAGGACTGGAGGATCTGTGAGTTCGACTTAGTGGCCAGATTGGCAAGCAAGTTTGTAAGGAGGGTTTTGATTTGACTTGTCCCGTTTTCAGTGGACTCTGCTGGGGTCTTCCTAGTTTGGAACCACGCTCTTCCTCGCTCGGCAGATCAAATACTGCAAGTACCACCATTGCTGTGGGTCCAAACCACATGTCCCCCAAGGGTCCGTAAGCCTGCAGAGGTCTATCCTCTCATATCCCTGCAGAAGTGAGACCATTTCCATCCCAAAACCCCGTGAAAACACTCCTTGCAGTGTGGTCACTTCGGCGTTTCTTAAAGACCAACAACAAAAGACCTCGAAAAGCAACGAGAACACATCCTCCAAAAACCCAAACACGTCCTCCGTCTTTCCATCTTTCCGTCCGTCTATCAGGACATGGAAAGCTTCGTGGAGCATCGAATCGAAGAGCTGATTTGTGCCGCGCAAGTACGCATTGAACAGGTCAGCCGTATTTTTGCCATGCCGAATTTCGGGAGGAGTGATTCTGTGCCTGTTGTTTTTTTTTAAATGAACGGAATGGACTGCATTTCAACCTACCGTGACTTAGGTGGGTTGGGGTTTGACTCACAGCAAAATCTTCAATTCACATTTGTTCTTGGGTGAAAAGGGTTGTGCTATGTAGGGGTTGCTGCCGGATCATGTTCACGCAAGTAACGATGTGCAGGCAGCTGACAAAGTCAGTGAGGGTCTACGAGCGCAAGCGCGTGAGGTCCAGGTGTGGTTGGGTGAAGTCATGAACGACTGATAAGAAAAGGAAGAACGATCTATAGTTTGCTATTAGGTTGGAGGCCATTGCTAAGACAAAAGAAGGAAGAATGGTCTAATAGATATTTTGAGTCTGCTCGTGTGTCGCATTGTGGCGTTGTGGCCAGGGCACCATCGAGCGAGCCCGAGAGTCTGAAAGCACGTTCATTGCGAAAATGGACGAAAAGCTGCAACTGGCCGTTGAGGCTGGATCTTTGTACAGCACATTCCAAGGGTTTCATTCTTCTTTCTGCTTGGTGTTTCTTCAATAAGATGTTTAGCATTCGGCTGGTTTTACCCCTTTCTGCAAGTCTTTCTTTTTCTGTGAAACGGCGTGGTGTGACATTTACAGTTCCACCTCAAACGGTGGAAGTGGTCTCAGGAAGTCACCCGGTCTGCAGAGACTTCCAGGCACGGTCTCCGCCCCAACGGTCTAACGGTGTTGAGAGGGTCGGAGTTCCAACCAGACTGGACAGGCGTAATCTCTCGGACTTCCTGAAGGAGGCTCGTGTGACGAATGAGGCCCGAAACGACACCCGCCGCCAGGAGTGGAGTGGTTCTGAGTTCTGATCAGCACGGAAAAAACATGAGACGAGCAGGTTGGGTAGTTGGTTCAGATCAGTCAACAAGTTCTTCGCCAGGAGGATTTTGAGCGGGCCATTGCACGCAAGTTTGAGGAAACCAATGCCAGGATCCTGGAAAAGCAGGCAGGACGTCCAACTTTTGGCAACCCTTGAAAAGTCTGGTTTCCCAGGTTTGAGGTGATTTTCGGGACACTTTTCTTGAGGACCGCGTTGCGGAATTTTTGCGCGGTGCCATCCAGAACGACATGAATACTGTGATGAGCCGCAGCGATATGGTCGTGGCAGCTTGGTGACGTCCAGTCCCGACCTCATACTTTCGCGAAAAACCATGGGACCCTCCACCACTGAAAAACCCACAAATGATGAGAATGAAGAGTTGTTCATGGGACACCATACTTTTTCGTGGGACACCAGGTGTGTGGCCCAAGTGCCCGTGCCACAACCCATGCCATATTTGATCCTTCCCAAGATGCATCCCAAAACCCATGCCTTAAAGAGCGATGACCTGTTTGCCGGCTCCTTCTGTTGCTCTTTCTGTCTTCTAAGTGTAGGGCAGGCTGCCTGCAGTCATGGCCACAAGTTAGAGGTTCATATTCCACGATAAAAAACGCCCAGGACGTTGTTAAGGAGAATGGTGCCATGGTGAAAGAGTCTTTGGGCGATCTGAAGCGCTTGAACATCAATATCTTAGATGTGGCCAATTCAAATCAGGAGCCTACAGTTTGTCTCACCAGAAATAGATGAGCTGGGTAAGTCCGAAGCTCAACCATGTTGAAGCTTTCATTTTGCATCTGCGACACACTGGGGCTCCTCGATAGGGAGACCCGACACAGTTTGATCTCCTCGCAGGAGATGATGCAGCAATCGCTCCATCGCTCGAGCGACTTGCGATCGATGGTGGAATCACAGATGCAGATGCTTGGAGTCATTGATCGACAGCTTCGGCCAAATGCTTGCAGTCGCTGAACACCAGAGAAGGCCTGGAGGCCAGTGTCCCTGTTTTTTGCTCCACCATGCCTGAGGACGTCTCATGATCGTGGGGGTGGGAGACCAGCCTACGATGGAGGCCCAGAGCTCAAGACCGGTGGAGGTATTATTTGGGCTTTTGGAGTGCACATGGGTCAAAGGCTCCATCCGACTTGAGCAGTCTCTTATTCGAGTTGTCTATTGGGAGAGGTTGGCCAAGCACCCCATTCGGATCGTTCAGGATCTCCAGACACTCGCAGCCCGAACTTCCGGAGTGTCTGGGATGCACCGTGAGAGTCTCACTTCTGAGTGTTGAGTTTCTGCCCACTGAGGCGATTTTGATCGACCCTTGTCCGGAGGAAACGGAGGCGAGCGATGGCAAGCGTGGTTTGAGTTTCCTCGTACAGAAACTCATGATCAGAACCTGCAGCACTGCAGATTCCTCCAAGCCACAGGTTGCAAACCGCTAGAACCTGTAGCGTGCAGGCAGACGGTATGACAGCAGGACTTCAGTGCCACGTGGCCTTTCATGACGCAGGACTGACTTCGTATCCGCGGGCGACGGCGCATCTGTCCGTTCGCCATCTCACTACGAAGATGGCGATCAGTTCGGCGTGTGGAGCGTGTCTATGAGGGGTCACAGTCACTCGGGAAATGGTGAAACGAAGGAGTTCAAACATTTTTGCTCGAGTCGCGGACTAGAGCGCAAGCCTCTACAAGCTTGATTCCAGTGGAAATTCCACCCCGTGTCTCTGATTGATGAGTAGCCGAGTAGCCAGGAAAGTTACCTTGGTTGTTTTCCTTTGCTTTAGCCACTTTGACCTCTTTTCATTTTCAAGTGCGTTCGGCTTGGATTTTGCAATGCCCAGCTGGCTTCACCACAAAACGCCTTTCTGTCCAATTGCTCGTCACTCCACATATTGCAGAATTCGTTCTTTTATGTTCTGATATTCACCTGAACCAAACTGGAAGGAACTGGGCCTCCAATGCACGAGCTGAGACATTGGAGCTGACGCATGCGTTGAGCTGGAAAACCGAAGTGACACCTGTTCCCTTTTTGGGATTTCGCAACCTTTGTCGCTGTGGTACACAGCTTGATGGAGGATTAATTTGGAACTTCTCACAGTCGCTTTGGCATGCGACTGGGCTCGTCTTTGTGTGGAGTTGTTTTCACCTCTGCAGTGAGGAGCCAAAGACTCTGGAAATCTGGAACCCTAGTCATACTCCAATTTGAAGTATGCTTAAGGCTCGAGGCATTTTGTTTGCTTCCTCAGAGTGGTGGTTTGTTTGTAATTACTTTGTTGTGTGTGGGAAGATGCATGCAGCCTTCCAGTTTGGCAGAAAATGCAAGCCGCTGTGTGATCGCTTGTGCTTGTTGCACACGTGCTTCCCACGTGGCTGCAAACTGGGCAAAGCCGCCGTCAGAGACAAACTCTACATGGCACCTCGTAATTGGTGGGATCTGATAACATAGGCCTGCCAAATGAAGCTGACACAGCTAAAAAGCGAAGCTTGAATGTTTTGCTTGAACCTACTCAGCTGCTAAAGCGGAGAGGACCCTTTTGGAAATTTGATCATTTGATATCATTTGAAGATTCAAGCTTTGTCATTGAATTGCTGCAGGTCTAAGCCCTTGAGGTCGTTTTAAGGTCCCTCAAGGAGGGACCCTGTGCAAGGCGCTCAACGCCGGTGCTTTGCGCGACTCTCAAGACTTCATGCTTTGGCCAGTAGCGAAGATGCTTCAGAGCGGAGCCAAATCGCAGGGACCGTTCGGTGCATCGTATCATACTGGCATAGTAGCGGTGCTGGTACCAAATCTCAAGCCTTCACGGCCACTCCAGACCATCAAGACAACCACAGGTCAGATACGCCCATCATCCGTTTTGTCTTTCACCAGCTTAATTCCTCGCCCGTCTCCAAGAGTTGGGCGTATCCGTAATGGCATTGGAGTCGAATGAAGACTCACCTGGCGCACTTGGAAAAGACACTCTGGATGCGCCTGACTCATTTGCTTCAATTGATCCGCCTTGTCGATAAAGTAGAGACTGATAGCTCCTGGCTGTTCCTTCCAGGCGCAGCTGGATGTAGAAAAGACCTACAATCAAATCGTGGCAAAACGTGAGGCAGGATAGGACCTCAAGAAAGTGCATGATGGGACGGGACTATTCTAGAATCTCATTTCTGTGCAGGCAAAGCTCTCGCGCGATGCATTGCTTGAAAGGCCCGCCCCAGACAGAAGCTCTTGTAAAAAACCATTTTGTTGCTTCCTTCCCTTGCAAAAGTGCCCGAGGCAAGCTACACAGCTGACCAAATACTTTATTCGAGCTCGACAGCGAGAGCTTAAGGCGACTTGGTGGGGAAGCGACTTCACCATTTCATCCGGAACCGGCTGCAGGACACGGTGGAGAAGCAAGCTGAGCAGTCTCGAAAGCACTATGAAGCTCGTTTGGAAAAAGGCATACTGGAAAAGAGACGGCATACAAGATCATACAAGTTGCATTCAACTACTGTCAGGAAATTGCAGTCGACCAAATATAAAGGCATACAAAAGAGATCATCTAAATGAGAAAACAATATATATATATATAGATGTATATATATGTTTTTTTCAACTTTCTTTTGTAGTGATATGAGCTGATGTATTCTAGTATGCCGGTCTCAGCGTGGCAACCGCGATGAAAGACATTTATGAAGAAGGCTCCTAGAGTTTGTCTCAATCCAATCTACGAACCATCCAACCCAATCTGCATGTCACACGCCAAGTCCCGTCGCACGCCAAGTCCCGGCAGTGTAGCAGGCCTAATTTCGCTACATAGGGCTTAACCTGATCGTCAGAACCATTCTCAAGCCTAGTAAAATAGTCTAGGTATTGCTGCAAGCTCCGAATGCATGTGATGCCTCCAATATGCTTTGCATCATTTGCATCTTTAAGATCCAAGATATATGACCAAAGCATCCTCAAATCATCCTTGGCTACAGCGGAACTGAGGTTGTGAGGTTGTGCCCGTCAAATGCACGAAGAACACATCGTCAGAAGGCCTTTTGCCTGAACTGGTGTGGATCAACTTTTCATGTCCATGCTCCCTGTCTTTGTCAAAAGGTATTCTCTCTAAAAAGGAAATGGTCGCTTCTGGCATCAGCCCTCCAACCCTTCGAAGCCTCCACCAGAATCGCAACGGGAAGGTTTTCTGGCCATCCATCCAAGGCAACCATGTCACCTGGGTTGACATTGAACCTCTGCCTTTCGACGCCAAACCCTTGATGGAAGTGCCTGTCATTTACCACTGTAAAGTTCGGACGCGGGTGCCACAATCCTCCCGGCCAGCGCCCGTCTTCGAAGGGCGATGCGGTATTTGTAACCCGTCCCGGCTGATCTCGAGATCAGCAATTGAAGTCGACTTGTTGAGTTGCGGCACTGCCGTCAAAACTTCCTCGTTCAACCCGACGGTCTCGTGTGGCAAGGCCTCTGGCATGCCCGTTTGGGTGGGCCCCAGATCGTTTGGTCCTTGATTTTCTCCCGTCTGGTCCTGTACTGCCCATCTGCGAAGATTCTCCGATGTCCTCCTCTCCTTCTTCGTCCGGATTTCGCTGCACGTCCTCTGACCTTCCGTTCGCTTCACATCAAACGGAGTGCACCGGTGAGCTGGGTGGAACAGAGAGGTTCGCTTATTCGATCCTGTGTCGACCAACAACGGGCAAGACTTGGTCCGATCTGATCCCTTCGGTGGATTTGCACAAGGCTCGGTCTAGGGCTGGTCCAACTCTATGGCATCACCCGCACATGCCCGAGCTACAGCTGAGCCCGATGGGCTAGTTGTGGAGTCCTATCATGCAATGGTGGTTCCAATTGGAGATCCCGGGAGTTATGGAGATCTGGCGAGTTCAAACGGCCAGACTAGTCAGCGAGTCCCTCTGACTCGCTGTGGTCTTTTCAATGAACCTGAGATGCTGCGGTTATGAGGTTGCACCAGTGCGTTCAGATCGTCGAAAGGGGGTTTTGCCGGAACTGAACTTGGGCCTGGAAGTGCGGCTCAACTTTTCATGTCCACACCAAGCACAAAAACCATACTCGTTCTTGTTCAGACTCAACACTTGCACTTGAACTCAGCAGCACGGGGCATGAAAACGCTGATTGCAAAGCGAGTTGATGGATGTGACAGGCCAACATGAGGCCTGTGTGTCAAAGGCATGGTGAACACGAGCTGGTCCGGTGTTGCTCTGTTTGACTGAGGAGCGAAACCTGCAGAAGGCATTGGGAAACGGAGTCTTTGGCGCAAGCAAGTCGACGATGCTAAGCATCACGACACTAAGAACCGACGCATTGTAGAGTGACGTGTAGAAGCTAGCTGCTTTAGGAGCGATCATTTCCGAGTTGGTAGAGCCATTTTCTTGTGGAAGCTATCCATTTGGGACCCTGGAATACATCATCAAAGGTATTTTCTGTTTTGTTTTTGGCTCCTGATGTGAAGCTATCCATTTGAGTAACCTAAAAAAGTCGGGATTAGATGAATGGTTTCACTGTAGGGTGGTCCCAGGCCAAACAGATGGAAGAAGGACGCCATTTTTTCGACGACTCTACGGACACACATGGTGTCTGATCCTCGCCTGCGCTCGGCCAGACCAAAGATGCTGGCGAGGCAGCTGCTGCAGTGGCTCAGATGGTGCCTCGCTCTCTGATTGAGAAGATGTGGAAAGAATGTTAGACATCAAACAGATCCCTAAGAGTTTGATGTTTGAGAAACACCTGCAGTTGTCATAGTGCCGAGATTCCCCAAGAGGCATTTCATTTTCTTGATTATTGGACTACATTTGTAAACAATTGTAGACACTTGTACTGATATAATTTGATAATAATAAAGCTTGATGCGACAACTCGTGCGCTCGGACGTCGTCAGCGACGGCTCGGACGCCAGGTGCAAGAAGAGAAGATCATCATCTCTGCTCACATGGCCGAGAAGGAGCGATTGGCCGGTGGGTTTTGGGGAGGCGATGTGCGATGTAATGGCTCAAACCCCAGCGGTTGGGGGGTCACAAATCCTATTTTGAAGGCAAGACTATTTTGCGCACCATTTGAGGGCTGGAGAGAGTGTTCGTTTGGTGTATCCCCAAAAGTACGCCTTGTGTTTGACCATGTTCTTATGTGGTTCATTTGGAAGTTGAGGGAGTTTGGCTGGCAGGGAGGAGCCGACGAAACGTCCCAAAAACGCGGGTTCCTTATGGTTCGTTGTTTGTAGCCTACACTTTGACCACCACACCGGCAGGGCAGAGAAAGGATGGCTCAGGAGCTGCGCGTTTGGCCCTCAGGTTCTTTTCACACGAGTGGACACCAGATCTGCCATTGGGTGAGCATGGCATATGCCGCCATATGCTTTCTCTTCCTTTCAAGGTGAAGTCGGAACGTCAGGAACGAGAGAAGTGGCAACAAGTTGCTGACTCAGTTCGGGGGATCTTTTGCAGGGAGGTTTTGGCGGTGCCCCTGCGATTTCTCCATCTTTCTCCCCTCAGGACGTCTCGAAATTTCCGCCATCCTTTGGAGGGCAGAAACACCGAGGCCCGAATTCTCTACGAGCGTTTTCAGGCGGAAGAGCGCAGCAAGGTACGACAGGACCGCACAGCCTAGCAGTGGTCTGGCAGATGTGCGAGCGACCGAGCGACCGAGCAGCTTTTGTTGGTTTCCAGTGTTTCTGGTGCTTTGCCAGGCCTTGACCAGGCCTTCAGGTGAAGATTTGACACCATTAGACTAATCATACACCGCTTCGCGTCGAAGCCGCCCGCACGGATACTTGTGCTCTCTGAGCCGGGAAAGAAAAAGTGTACCGTGAGGAAAAGACGGTCATGGAAACAACGAGGTGCAAGAGAACGCAAGGGGTAGGTGCAACTAAGAAAGATCGAGTTTAGGATGAACATTTGGGATAGTTTAGCAGCAGTTGGGGTGCCAGTAGTGTCGGTTCTCAATGACGCAATTCCACTCAGACAGCATACCATAGCTTTCCCGTTTATCTTTCGGGAGGGCCACAAGGGAGCACACAGGATGTCAATAATGCAATCGCACTTGGGCAGCACAACTGACATAGCCGACGGCTTGCTGATTTTTCGTCGGTTTTAAACGTCAAAACACAGCATTCTAGAGCAAAACTAGTCCTCCCCCAAGCTAAAGCTTAATGAACAATCTAGCAATTCTAGCGGTTTATACCATCTGAGACAACGCCTCAGCACCTTCGATGCGGGCGGATGTGTAACTTCCTTGCACCAAAAGGACGTGATACTGATATTGCCGTTTTACCCGATATTGAGCAAGGAGGAGGAGAAGCAGCGCTTGGAAAAGCTGCAGGCCCAGACACCAGCAATTTTTACATGTTCAATCCATCCATTCATCCATACTCTTGCACTTTGATATCAGTTGCATTCCTGCGCTTTGAGCGAACAGGAGAGCCTCAAGAAACACGATGAAAACATCATCCAGCGGCGCCAGTCCGAGGCATGCGCCAAGAAAGACACTGTCGGCATGTGCAATTCGTTTCTGCTTCCCAAACATGTTGTTCGACACTTCCACTGCCGCAGTGGAGACGTGTCCGTCACCTGCAAAAAAGATGCCTATCCCCCGTCCGCATGTAAGATGAACCGTCCCCCCCCGGATGGATCCTTTGGACCTGTTTTTGGACCCGAACTCATTCGGACGAACGACCCAGTCGTCACGACGACCGGAGGCAGAGAAGATCACGACGAGGCGAGAAGCCAACAGCAAAAGAGCAGATCGAGCCGGGGATCTCAGTGAGATGAGTTGAGTTGATCTCAGAAGTGTTGGAGGATTGGTATGGTTTGGTGAACTGAGAACTTACTTCAGAAATGGCCGATGGAGATCATACTACAAAAGTTGTTTTGCACTTGAACCGCAATTATAGCAGGTTCAGGGCGTCAGGCGGGATCTCATGAAAAAGCGACAGAAGGCCCAGACCGGGTGGGTGTTCATTTGTGAGCCCGCTTGAGCAGAGGAGTCGATTTGAAGTTCCATCGACAGCTCGGTGCATTCACCTGCGAATTCAGTTGAGGTATTTCAGACTTGCCACTCCTGTGAGTGCAGTTGTTGCCGGGATTTTCTGAGGCTCTGAAGAGGTATCGTAGAAGACAGCCACGACACATGTCGTCAAACAAGTGAATCAAGCAGCATGTCCAGGACCACTGTGAACTCCAGCAGCATCGTCTAGTGAGTCTAGTGACAGTAGTCCTGTGTCTAAGACAGTCAGCTTCCTTAGTCTCTCTATCACTGGCAGTTGGATCCAAGTGGTGAGGTGCTTAGCGGTGCTCAGCTCTGACAGTCTTGGCCGATTGTAGTCAGTAATTTGGAAGTGCAAAAAGGGCAACTGAAATCAATCATGGCCCAGAATCGAAGGAGCACGATTGAAGGAAGTGTCCCACATCCCAAGGCCACATGGCCAAGGCAATCAAAGTGCCGGTGCCATCCTGCTTTCCGACAGTAGTGTAAATAAGTAAAGAGTCGACTACTTGTGCTTTCATTTTTGCTCCTTCGTTGTCCTACCTTGACTTTTGATTTCTGTGCCGCCGGCATGTACCATTTTGGGGTCAAGCGGAAGCGCAGCCCTTTGCGCAGCCCAAAGTACAACCGCGAGAGCCGCGTGCTGAAGATACAAGGAGCTGGTCGTGTGGAAGTGGTGAGGATTCTTGTGTGCGAGATCCAATCCGTTTCTTCATTTTTCTGTTTAGCTAGGAGATGCAGAACGACGAGGGCAGGATCGTTGACCTCTATTTGCCACGAAAGACCATGCCCCAGCGCGAACGCGCGCGGCGTGTGTTTGAAGTTGTGCGGTAAAGGATCAGGTCGAGGATGTCGTACAGATTGCTTCTTCTTTCCTGCAGGAATTGGCCACAGGAACAAGAAGCCACTAGGGGCTCCTGGCATCGCTACTAGGAGCTTGCAGCAAGGACGCTACTAGGGGCTCCTGGCCATACTACTAGGAACAAGAAGCTACTAGGGCCTAGGGGCTCCTGGGTAACAACTACAACATGTTGCAATGTGTTCCAACCACTCAATCCATGGAATCAACATCCATTCTCTTTCGACAACAGCTACAGTCAGGTGCTCTGCGACCAACCGCCTGATCCCTGCCAAGGACAGTGAGATCTATTTTCTAAGAGTTTTCATGTTTGTCCAAGCGAGGAGCACGGCGCGGTGCAGCTGAATGTGGCTCAAATTGATGAAGCTTGGCACGGCTCAAGATATATACTGATTCCATTTTTCGGAGGCATTTGTCGGAACATGTGGTGCTGAAGTTTCTGGTGAAATGCGCATGTTTATTCGAATTGCAATCGACAGTTGATAAGGAGAACGGCACTTACTCCGGTGAATTCCACACATTTGCGTGCCTCGGAGCAAGTCGCAGATCTTGAGAGTTCCAATTCCCTGCACGTTGCACAAAGTGAACGTGGTCCGTTCGTGTCCTTTTGACTCAACCTCCTTTGGGTGCAGATTGGCTGGCTTCATTCGACAACGTGGTGAAAGCGATGCGTGTGGGAACCTTAGAAGAGTAGGGTTTGTCGCGGACACTAGGGGGCACAGAACGGCATGGTAAGTTGGAGAAAAGATACTAGGTAACATTCGCTGTTTGGATGCTTTGGACAAGCAAAGGCTTGAACCGCTTGCTCTATGCCGGGCACTTGGCAAGAGAATGACAATGACAATGCCTCGTCACACTGGAGTCATAAGCATACCGTTACCTAACGTATCCTAACGCCCTGGTACTTCTTGCGGTCATTTTGCTTTTGCTGTTTTCCTTTGGCCATAATTGCAAGATTCGCAGACTGAGACTTTCCAAGTTTTGCCTTATCTCAGGAGAAAGGTCTGCTGACCTTCTCCAAGTGAGAGCTTTTGTGCCAAGTAGGGAACGCTGTGACTTCGGGCTGCAACAAAAAGGACGCCATCCCTAGCTGCGTGCACGTTTTCTGGCCCAACAGTATCTAAGTATCATATGCTCCGCTGGACGCTGGTTACATGGTAATTCACATCGACAGGTCAGTTTGTGTATAGCTTGTGTTTGTTCCGCAGAAACCCACCAACAGGACGCTGATTGACCAAACAAACGTTTGGAGGGCCATGGAGGGCGGCAATCCCTGTTGTTCCTTCGACGTTTGAGCATTCCTAAACCCTCAAATCACACCAAGACTCTGATGTGCAGTGGGTCTTTTCAAGACCAAGCAACCATTTCGATTCCGCCCAGATGTGGTTCTGCTGCTGTTCGCAATGAGTTGAATCGTGACAAACGAGTTGAAGACTTTCAGTTCTGGTGTAAGTCCCAAATGGCTTCCGCCCATTGCATACCCAAGAATCGATGCACCAGTTATATACGTGTCTCTTCCCACGCCTTCCGCGCAGGTGCCGCGCGCGGCCAAGCGGAGGAAGCTAGCTCGGAGCCAAGTGTGCGCCAGGGACGACGCAATTCGGACAGAAGAAAAGCGGTATGATCTGAACAAAAAAACGACAAAACATTGTTCAGAAATGATACGGCATTGTTCGCGGACAGATGTGTTCCGAGACCTGGTGATTTTCAGGCCGTGGTTGCTGTAGTTGCTGCGCTTGTTACCTTTACTGGGTGTGACACTTGGAGGGAGTCTTACATGTCCAATGCGAAAGGTAGTTGGATGCATCAAACTTCTGAGTTGGATGCATTAAATTTATGTTTGCTAGTAGTAACAGGTGCCTTACTAGTAGTAACAGGTGCCTTACTAGTAGTAACAAGAAGCTACTAGGAACAAGTGCCACGCTATTAGTAACAATAAACATTGACTGCCTGAAGGCTGAAGGCAAGAAGTGTCGACGACATCTCCAACAAGTACGAGGCACGAGACAACAAGCCAGTGCTATAGCAGCTATGCAAGCTTGCAAGCTATGCTCTTTGCCAAAGTAGTGTTCGTTCGGAACCCACAGTCGCCTCCGAAAAACAAAGCCGCTCTCTGTTCTGTTCGGCTCAATTAGGCTGGAAACCACCAGCGTCACTGAGCCTTCAACCGTTTTACTTTTTTTTTTTTTTTAAATCAGGTCATAGTGCTTTCAAAGGTGAAACGACATCACAAGCAAAGCATGCATGCAAATCAGAGAAAACCGGATAGGCAGGTTTTCTCGGGTTGGTTTCCAAAAGACTGGATGTAGCTCGAAGAATGGATCCAGAAGCCGACGCATTTCAAAAACAGACTTCTGCCCCTTGGCCCGGGAAGGAAGATGCAGGGAGCGTTCCGCAAGCTTTGGGGGAACGATTAAGATCACGTTTTTTTCTGGATGGTAGCTACCCATATAAGGCCTTCAGGGTTCACCGAAGGCCTTCACCCAGAAGGATTTTGTGAATACTGTTGATCTCCTTGTTACGTTCGTGTCGATGGCCTCCACCTAATGGTGTCCAGACACCATGAGCTCGGCTCCGTTCGTCATCAACGGGAAGTTGCACATCCCGCTGCAGCTTTCCCCCTCTCCCCCTCTTGATCCTTTGTTCGTGGTCACCGGAATTGATGGGAATGCTGGCCAATGCATTTTCAGAGGGGATGAACTTCTACATACATACATATGTATTAGACTCAGACATATTTATTGTTATTTTTTGGAGTCACTGGATGGGTCGCTAGATGTGGCACCGCAGTCTTTTCGTCCTTTTTGGTCTGTTCCTCTACAGTGCCGAGGCCACTCGTTCGCCGCACACGACCACGAGTTGTCTGGTTCACAGGGTCAATGAGGAGCTTCCCATGTCTGCGGGGATGGCTAGCTCGTCAGGAATCTGCGGGAATCACCCGTCACCTCTGAGGATTGATTTCACCCTCCAATCGATTTTCTCAGGCACTGAAAACAGTGCTTTTTCATGACGGCTCTGCGGTGTTCGCTGGTTTGGTGAACGGGGCGTAGCGCAGGCAATTACCGCTCTCACTTCTGCACCTCTCAATGTTCGGTCCAAAGTGTAGCCATAGCTGCAACCGACTTGCTTGCAGGTTCACGTTGGCTTTTGGCACAAGCTTCCGACATGTGGGGAAACATCGCACCACACCAAGCCAAATCAAATGCACGATGCCATCTGCGGGAAGCGTGTCTTCATCATTCTGATTGTCCTCTGCTGCCCACCCGCGCCATCTATCCGTGACCAAGAGCGATATCTGACTTTTGGGCAGGATCGGATAGAATCATTGCAGGTATGATCAGGTATGGGTTTGCTGCCTTCGCCGTTCTCCACGTCAAGCTTCCAAAAGGCTCCACGATTGCTATTGGTGCCAACGTTTGAGGTAAGGTTCTGGTATGCTGCGATTTTAAGATTGGAACAAGAATTGGACTGACACATAAAGCATGATAAGGCAAAAGCATTTACCATGCCCATCATCAAAGAGTCTAAGCCGAGAGTCCAACAGCGAAGCCACATCACAACTTCGGCTACCAGGCCAGCGGCCAGTGGTCATGATCAGCGCGGGTGTGGGGAATCATATCACACATTAGGTTAAACATCCCAAGCCATGGAATTGTACAAGTTATTTTTTGCACTCGATGTGGGACTGACCAAGGCACAATTTTTTGGGCCAGCATGCGTTTGGACCGACATACCCAACGCCCTGGCATCCTGTTCAAGGGAAGAGCACCAGCTTTTGACCTACCGCTGGTCCGCGTGTCTGAGGTCTATTCTGAAATTTCGAGGACCGACCGGAATCGTGTGTCTATGTGCAGTGGCGGGTTTGTTGCAAAGGCTGAAACCAGCCGTTGCGGCGGGTTGGATACCGCCAGGAAGTCCGACCAGGAAAGCTTGGTTGATCCAGGGAACTTGAGCCGGCAATGCACAGAGATAGATGATGCTTGGCGGACTGAGTCCGGGTAAACATTCATGACCATCGAGTTTCTGCATGCGAGTTTCATCGAGTTTCTGCATTTAAGACAGTTTCCAAAGCTTTTGCCCAGGAGATTGCCAATCGAACGCGCTTGGACCAGGCTCTGATTGAAGCAGCTTTGAGGGATGCTGTTCAGGAATGTACCTTTTGTGCCTCTTAGCTGAACAACAACTGTGGGCGGACATGTGGCTGGCGTCAATACCCAAAGCCTCCAACACCATGGTACCATTCACTTGTGTTGCTTTCGTGTTGGCACTTTTTCATGCGAGAGAACCGTTTTTTGTGTTCATTCACGGCGTACAGATGCACACATGCAATCCACTAGAGGGTCGAACATCGACGTCTTTGATACCCGCCTAAGACGTCTCTTCGGGTGCGCCGCGCTCCCGCCGCGTCGAGGTTTCGATAGCCGATCCTCAGCGCGAACATTGTCCTCTCATTGCGGTGTCCGACGAGTTTCTGACGATGACGGGATACCTCCGAGAGGAGGTCGTGGGTCACTTCGGTGAGAGTCGGTGAGATGAAACAAAAAACAGAGAAGCTCACCCTGTTCCTAGTGAGATGCCCTTTGTTACTAGTAGCGACTCTGTTTCTAGCGATGCCCTTTGCTCCTAGTAGCGATGCCCTTTGTTCCTGATGTGAGATGCCATGACTTCACTCTTCGAATCTCTTCGATGCATGCAAACAATCATTGATGAGGCCCTCGTTGAATTCACTGAGGTAAGAACTGCAGATTCCTCAATCGTCCAAGACCCAGTCTTTGAGATGTGGACTCGCAGGGTGAGCTGAAATTGCATGGCGTAGATGGAACCAGGTGTTTTTGACCAGGGGGACCCCTGCACAAACCACGGACCAAGAAACACGGACCAAATATGACCAAATGGCTGGGGCTCCCCATTTGGAGATAACCACCAAGATCCATGCCCCACACCATGCTACCATGCAGCACGGTGACCCCATTTTTGATGCTGTCAGGCAATTGCTACTTGGAGTCAAGCACTGTGAACGGCCTGCGCCACGCATGCAACACCGGTGATGCTTTCACCGGTGTCATCCTCAACCGGCGAAAGTCAGGCGACCGCAGAAATCGAGTTGACCTTGAGGTTGTTTCGCCGCTTTTTTGCTTTGATTGTTTCGCCGCTTTGATTGGACCACCTTCTTTGGTGTCAGTCCACATAAATCGGGTTGTTTTTGTCGTGCTGGCGCAAAGCGATTTTCCTCACATCAGTCTGACAGGGTGCATCTGAAGCGAGCTAAGATCATGCCAGCACGCTGTTGGGCATGTCAGCAACCTTTGATATAAGCTTTGGCACCCCTTTTTGTGCAAAAAAAGGATGGAGCCCACGAACCTGATTGCACACACACGCACTCGAAAGCAACCGGCCAAACATTGTTTGACACTCTTTGTAGGAGACACTCTTTGTGGGAGACACTCTTTGTAGGAGACACTCTTGTGGGACACTCTTGTAGAGCACTCTTATGGGACACTCTTGTGGAGAACTCTTGTGGGAAACTCTCTTGCAAAACTGTTGTGGGACACTCTTGTGGGACACTCTTGCAGGACACTCTTGTAGGACACTTGTAGGAGACACTCTTGTGGAAAACTCTTGCTTTTCGTACGAGACGGCTGAGGCACCAATCCCAATGGCGCAGTGACATTCACCTCCACCAAATGTCGCACCCTCACGATTCCCTGCGCCCGCCACGAAAAATTCAACACCACAGTACACACTTGGAATGGCTTCGACACTTTCTGAGGATACTCGTACCCACAACACCGCCATTTTAGCTGAGACCTGTAACAAAACACAGCTCCCTGAAACGCAAATCCTACTGTTAGAGCGACATCCAACACCTTCAACACACCACGCTGCGAGCGCCAATCTCACCGTCGCAGTGAAGGAAACTGAAGATCTCACAAGACGCTGCACCTGCGCAGGAAAATTATCCTCCACACTTCAATGTGTTACGTTTCCACGCGATTTCACACAAATCTGCCACTTCATACTTCCATCCAAAACCTCCTCCAAAAGCTTCCCCCACTGCCACGGGCTTATCGATCACATTTGGCCGCTCGCCAACTTTGCGAACATGAAAGCAACTCCGCACGAACAACGCTCCACCCTCAGACTCCCAAAGTCAAACGAGAACCCTTCGCTACGCATTCGGGAACAACTTTCAGGAAAGATGTTGTAACACTAGTAGTGTAGCACTGTTTGTTTATATAATAACATTGAAACTCCACTGATTTGTTTGCTTTCCAAATTGTTGAGTTTTCATCTGCAGGTGAACTTTTCATGAACTTGATCAATCTGCAAGGGCTGGTGATCGCATCTTGGTTCCTTCCGTTTTCCTCGTTCGCCACAGCATGTGTCTCCTTGTTGCGCCTCGTTTTGAGAAAACCCTCAAAGTCCTAAGGCCCGTAACCCGCGGGGAGATGCCCTGTGGTTTCTCGTTGGAATCCAAGCCGATGTGACTCATGTATCCTCGGAGAAACTGCCACAGCAGCTGCCAAAACTACATGAAGCTGCGCAAATGATCAGCACCTCGGGCAGATCTTACGTCGGTAGGATTGCTGCGAAAGTGACCACAGTCTTGAAAGGAATTGAATGGAATCTGTCTGAAGAGGGAAGATCATGATGAATGACGCGCCCATGTCGCTTTGCCTTTGACTAGAGCGTCTCAGTCCCCCAAAAATTGGACTAAAGATTGCATCAACGCGGTAGATTGCAGTCATTGAGTCCCAGAAGTGCGGTGAAGTGAGTTTCGCCAAGGACAGAAGTTGACCTCTGCAACTTGGACTTGGCATGGTTTGCAATGAAAGGGTCATGGATGCTCATGATGAAAGGGTGGCGGTTGCATGACCTGGTCGCATTTTTCAACACTCTGTGACTAATTTTGCTCATCAGTGCCTGAGGAACTGACCACGTTGGTGGTCGCAAGTGCAATGGTTGCAGAGACCGCCATTGTGCAACCGGGTACTTCTTGGTGGCTGTTACCAGATCCCATCTATACTGCACAGGCCTTCTTTCCACCATGTTTTCCACTCCTCATGTTCTGCAGCTTCAGCATGCACCCATGCTGGTTCTGGCAACGCTGTGCAGGAGAGTGCTGCTGTCCCCTTGCGACAAATGCTTTTTGACACGGTGCTGGAGTCGGACTTAACCGGAAGCACTGATGTATCCGACAATGAGCTGGAGTCGTTGGGCTCTTACCAATTTTCGAAGCTATTTGTCCCGCGGTCCTGAGACAAGTGACAAGACAGTCTTCTCTTCACTTAGGTTCAGGTTCAGGATTGAGAGCTCTTCAGAGAGACTTTCCAGCTTTGCCCGTCAGCAGTCCCAGCAAGTTGCTTCCTGGCTGCGTGGTCGGGAGGATTGCACAAGCCTTATGTAAAAAAAGCAAACCTTGTGGAAGGAGTGAATCTGTCCAAGCCTTGGAGCTGTTGAGAGAGTGAATCTTGTCAATTTCTCAGGAATCTTTGCTTCCAGAAGCAATGGCCTCCACTTGTATAGATGAGGCTGTAACGATCATTGTGGTAGGGGCTCTACATTTATTTGTTATAGATACAAAAAGCAGCAGCGTGAGGCTTGAAGGATTGTGAACCAGTATGAGCCTCATGGAAGTATAGACATGTCTTTGTTGGTAGGCCCTACGTGCCGCTGTGCAGGACTGCAACTTTTGTGCTGCTTGCCCGCAAAAGCAGTTGCATCTACTTTTATTGCGACCAGGGGTCTTGTTGGAGTCTTCCTCTGTTGAGACAAAGTCATGACTGCGGCCGGTGTCCAATGTTGTCATTCGGTGGGATGATTGGTTCACACAAACGTTTGGTTCACAAACAATTGGATGAATCGGACAAGAAACAGTGGGAAATCGTCAGGCAAATCCAGATGCCAAGATCGTTATGTGTTTGGCCGTTCAAAGGTCAGCATTGGTGACCCTCGCGCAGATGACTGCCCATTGGTGGCGGTTTCAGATGAATTCGAGGTGTTGACAGGGTACTCGAGGGAGGAGCCATGCCTGCACTGGGCTAATCCACACTGTGAAAGCCGAATTACTTTGATCAGCCACCACAATCTCGACGGGAAAGCAGGGGGTTTCACTCTCTCTCTCTCTCTCTAACCTCTTAGAGTCGTTCTTCCTCCGTTCTACATCCATCTATCGGAGCCCGTGCGGATTTTCCTCAGGAAATCATTGGCAAGAACTGCCGCTTCCTGGGCCGAAACTGTCAACTAGGTTCGCTTCATTCGGCCAAGTGGGATGAAGTGAGTGCTTCATTCGGCCATGTTGCCTTGCGAAGTCTGCAGGACAAAAGGACCAGCGTGCCTTGCGGGAGGCATGCTTAAATGGAAGGCCATTCAGCAAGATCATTGTGAACAGGAGGACAGGCCTCAAAGCCAAGCTGAGTCCAGATATGTCCACATCACTTCCCTGCCACCCTTGAAGGAAGTCCGGGGATTTGTTCTTGAACTTCCTTGACTTGCGTGGAGTGACCGTGGCCAAGAATCTAAAGACAAGGCAAGGAATTGATTGGCTAAGCCATGCGAATCTATCCATGAACGCCGATATGTTTGGAACGCCTTCATTTTGCCTGCAAACGATGCAGGGAAGCACTATGGTTTGTGGTGGGCATTCAAGCGGATGTGACTCACTTTCAAGGCAACCTTCCAAAGGACTGAGCAAGCGTATTTGGTCAGAGCTCATGAGACCTGCATGCCAGAGATTTGTCGATTCCCATTTGACTTTGTAGAATCACCTCGAGAGCATTCACCACGTTGCTTCAAGCCGATTGGCAGCATTGATGGGGGCCTTTGCCGGACTTGCAACCATCGGAAAGACAAGATGGGCTTATTGTGGCAAAATGGAGAGATTCTTGAAACGTAGACTCAGACCAAAACTTGTGTAAACTTGACGTCAATAAATATAGGAGGCGAGAGGAGCCATAAAGGAAGTTCAACATCTCATCAAAACCTGCCAAAAAATAGATCTCACTATGGAAACGAGAGGGGATGGTCTTTCCCTACTTTGAGGTTCGCTCTACTGGTCGCTGAGGCATTCGTGCACATCTGGCCAACCAGCTGTCGCTCATGGCATTGGCCGGGAGCTCCACTGCTGGATGCCTGAGCTGCGCGTCTGCAGAGGCGCAGCTGCACGCGCAGCTTGCAGCGATGTCAGAGATCGATGATGACTACACAGACATTGAGCATGCGGTGGCAGCCATACCGACATAGAGATCATAGGGTGTGGTGTGGATATTTGTAGAATAACAAATCCGTAGGACGCTGTGTTCAACTTGCCAACTTGTCCAAGCTTCGCATAGATTCGAAGCTTTGGCAAGTGCAAGAATTGAATATGCCCTTCTCGGAAGCCCAAGAGATTCCAGAACGTGGTATGAATCCAGAGTCAGCAAGTCACAAATTCCTGAGGTTGCTGTTCTTACGGCTTAATTTCTTAGGGTTGACAGCTAGCAGTTTTCGTCTTATTGGTCGTACTTCCTTTTGTGACGAGGTGCTTTGGGTCCCAGATTCACCTCGTTGGATGGAGAGCAACTTGGCTGAGGAAGGCGAACACTCTGGAAGGCATTTTGGCAGGTATTTCATCACCTGGCCAATGTACTGGCTAGTGGATGAGCTTGAAACAATCTTTTGGAACAGGAGCTTTGTTACGCTCTGTTTCTTAAGTAGAAGCAAGAAGCTACTAGGAGCAAAGGGCATCGCTACTAGGAGCAAGGATGCTACCAGGGGCTCCTGGCATCGCTACTAGTAACAAGAAGCTACTAGACCCAATACGATTAAAAACACGGAAGAAACGGAGCATCCGACGGACCCCGTTGGACAAACCGATGGAATATCCACGTTCGCCTCGCCTCGCCGAACGCCGACTCGCCCGCGTGACTCGCGTAGAACTCACCGAGGTGACAAAGAAGGGAAGGCCGGTGCTTCGACAGGATAAGACCATGAAACAAGTACCATAAGACTTATGCACCTTATTGTTACTAGTTATATACTAGTAGCTTCTTGCTACTAGTAGCGATGCACCTTGTTACTAGTAGATGCCATAAGTCATAAGTATTTCTTTATGTTTTTTGTGTTTTGTTCTCCTGGAACACGTGGAAGTGCGGATGGCGACGATTGACCTGCTCACATCCTGACCATCAAAGTGCATGGTTGTGGGATTGGATCCACAAGCATGTCCTTCTCAGCTTAAAAGAGTGTGTTACTACAATGAACCGTGTTCTGGAGAGGCCCCGGACAAGATGCCGTTGAGGCCAACCTCGGGTCGATGCAAGGCGAGGGGGTGTTTGGGACCCATCTTCAACAGCAGTCATTGCAACGTTGTCGCCTTCTTTCAGCGTCGGAAGCTAGCGACCCATTTTTCTCTTGGGACAGACATTGCAAGTAGTTGGTCCCAGGGCTGTCAGGGCTACGTGTCCCACCCGAGAGGAAGTGCAATGTGAGGAAAGAGACGTCAAACCAGCTCGAACGAGATGTCCGGGTCATGAAGCGGAAGCCAAGAGTTCGCGGGTTTGATGGGTTATAGGTCAACACTGGACTCCCAGCGGAAAACAGAATCACTATACTGTAATGGACCAAAATCTCATTGAATTGCCCGGTAGTACAGAGTTTCGACCCCAAATGCATGGATGTGAGTGTGTTCCTCAATAATTATCCATCTTCACTTTGGCTATGAGCGAGGGAATTTGGGAACTCAAGTAGTTGAGATTCATGATTTAGAATAACAGGGCAGCTCAGGGTAAGATTTGCAAGGATCCCCCAAGTACAAACTTATATATATGTCTCTTTTGAAAGAAAGTTTCCTACCCTAGCGACGTCTCCCTACTCGAAGCAGCCAAACCGACTCGAAACCAGGCCTCCCAAAGCTATCAATCTTCCGAGAGGCGGGTGGCATTCGAAGTCTGATGTACTGACATGGGGATGGGTCGAAAGCTGGAGCTCCGCCAGGTAGGTCCTGCCCGGTCGGTATCGCCATGACCGCTGTTTTTGGGGACTAACCTGATTGATCATCAGTTGGACAGTGATACCTGACGGTCGTCTTGAGAGCCAAGGTTCTGGAATGTTGAGAGCTCAAGTCGTCGAAATCCAACTCGCCTCATACTTCCGGTGGATTTCACTCCCAACAGAAACCAATGCGGCCTTGTCAGGTATGCCTCAAAGGCGGGAGACACTGGAGGCCGGACAGTGCATCAGGTGACCTAGCGGTGCTTTTAGCGGTGCTCTGGTGTTTGGATTTTCTGATTGTTCATTCCCTCCCAGTGGCTTTTCAAAAGCACAGCGTGCTGCAGCAAGTCTGTGATGCGATGCACAGAGCCGGTGTCTGGTTGGAACCGGTGTCTGTCTGCGTTGGGACGCTGCTTCCCAGGGTATATGGTTCGGGTCGGGTGAGGCCCGTGAGGCGGCCCGTGGCTTAGGACCCTTCTCGCTTCCCAAGGATCTCAGCTGGTTTCTTTTGGGCCTCGTGTTGAGGATGCAGTTTTTTGCATATTTTGCTCACTTCGAAGCAAGACGCTGACAGGCTTAAAGCTTGCCCTCAAGGAGATCTGGCACCTGCCACACTTTCTGGAACTGGTCATGCCCCTTGGCCGTTGACTTTACTCGGCACCGTGCAACACAGCAGCGCCAGTAGTGTCTAAAGAAGAGTATATCGTACAACTTGAGAAATGACCTAGACACCGAAGCCATGAATCCTAGAGAATCTGAAGGCTACCACCATGGAATCCATGCATTCTTCCAAGCATACCAGCACCTGGAAGCAGCACAGTCCGCCGGGTGGGCCGGGCCTCTCATGGGTCGAATCATCACCCGAAGCACTGAAGCACCTGAAGCATCACCTTTGGGGAGCCTTGATTGATATTGAGCTCACCCCCGACTTGTGTAGAAAAATGCCGACCATGCCCTTGCAAATGTAGAACTTGCTGTAGCGCCAGGAAACATCTGGAGAATGACTGCTGGTTTTGGAACCGTGGCAGCTCTTCATCAGCATTGATGACATGTCATGTCTTTAGCTCAGCTCTAGTAACTTGCCCAGGTCTTTCTTGAGATCCTTCGAGCCCTACCCGGGCATTTTGGAACTTCTCGAAACTTTATCAATATGCAATAGCTGTCAAAGCTGTGCAATTAATCGCAGAGTACATTTCACTTCTGCTGCCTCCAGACCCAGCGTTTTGTTGGCAGCATTTGAGATGCAACTTTCAATCGTCTCACATAAATATATAGATCTAATGCGTGCTCATCCATCGCGGGGAAAGTAAGGTTTCCCTGCGATTGGAGGCAAAGTACCAGACCTGTCAGACGTGCCAACCCTACAGGACCCAGTTGGAGAGCGCTTTCCTTGCACACTGTCCCGTAAGCAGTGGCGTTGCTGGCAGTGAAGAAGACTTTGCATTTCATTTGGGAGAAACAGTTCTCTTAGCCCTGCCCAGTGCAAGGACGCTGGGTTCGAAGAATGTTTCCAATCAGCCATCAAGTTCCCTTGATCAGGCATCAATTCGCCTGTTACACCCTCTTAAGACCCTGGGCACAAATGGCGGAAGCTACTGTAAGCATATTTGTCCATCTCTCAAGATGGTCGGATTTTTTGTATAGTTTGGTGCCAAGAGATGCCAAGAGTCTGGGTGAGGTAACTTGTTTTGCAGATGATCTTGTACAGGTGACATTGGTCCATTGGTTCTACCTGCTGCGCCGCTGCACATTTCTATTTGTGCAGCGGGGCTTCGCACAGCTCAGCTGCGAAATCCTGAAGCTGGTTCGGTCGTCGGAGGCCAAAAAGGCTGCTGCAATGGTCCAGCTGCAAGTTTGCTCGAAGAATGCGCTTGACTTCTAGTTGCGTTCCATCTTTGCTCCCCGTTCTGTGGCAGGAATCTTTGCAAAAAGCTGAAGATGCCATGAAGTCATCCTCTCAACTTTTTGCCGGAGTGCACTTGGAATGTTTGGTCTATACCAGGTTTTTTGAGGCGGTCAATCCTGTGTTGCATCAACTGGGACGGTTGGGTCGACGTCAGAAGAGACGCCCTGCAGAGGTCAAGATCGGAAAAATGCCAATCCTTCGGTCACGGAAACTAATCCATCGAAGCCAATTAGGCGCAGGTGGACCTGTGATACTTGTAGCTACCGCACTCCTTTCTGGTGGGGGAAGCTCAGCCATGACCAGTAATCGGTTTGGGAGCAAGTAGGACGCACCACGAGTGCCTCAATTCTCTTGCTTCTTCTCTTTCTTGTTCTGGTGCTCCTTCTTGTTCTCTTTCTTCTTCCTCTCTGTCTTCTCATCTTCATGCGTCTTCATGCGTCTTCATGCGTCTTCTGCTCCTTCACAGAGCAACTGGCTCAACTCTCCATCGAACAGAGTAGTAGTGGAGCACAGATTGCCTGAAAACATGGACTTCGACCTGAAAATATGATACTGTATATGAACTTATGAACTCCCAAAAACGATAACCTTGGAATGAGCACATGTGATGTGATGTGATAGCAAGCACTGCGTTTGGACCAGCACCTGCGCTTCCTGACAGAATAGTCGTGCACGGAATTGTGAAACAGACAGTGCAGCATGCCAACATTGACACGCTTCCCATGCGAACATTGCGCTCTGACCATTCCTCAAGCTTTCCCTATAATAGTTTCCGCAATTATATGTGATATTCATAATATATATATATAATTAGAGCATACGCTCGCAATGTTTGCGGCCTTTTTGCAAACATGTCAGTTCCCAGAATTTTTCTCAAGAGGTGTCCAGGCTTTGAACGATAACCAAAACGATAGCTAAACGATATCCATGTTGAACAGACATGCGCTCTTGTGATGGATGGCCCAGATGTGAAGAGATTTGTGAGAGAAGTCTTTGTGAATGAGAAGATCAATGGCTTATTGCGTGTAGGTGCTCAGCTACCACATGTGAAGAAACTGAAGTCTGAGGTAGAGGTTTAAAAGTGCGGCCGCACCAATTTGGCAGGTGTTTGACATTGATGCTTTCAGGGTTTATTGGCAAACGATATGGCGAAACTCCAAGAAATGATAACTTAGGCTAATCCATGCAAAAGCCAATTGAGGTTTTGCCGATCGTTCACCGAATGCTTTCTGCACTTTGAAATCTAGCTCTGTTGAGTTCTTGTAGAAGGTCTTAGATTTTCTTAGTAAAGATGCACGAACATCGTCTGAATCGCGAAGGGGTTGTCTATATTCTCAATGTTCAGATCGGAGAATGTTTGACTCTTTCAAGATAGCACTCTCAAAGGAAATGTTTGTATTAGTTCAAGGCTGCCACTTTGGCTGTTCATCTAGACGGGCATGACTTGATTGCAGGAACTGCAAGCTTTAGGGTGTTTCCGTAGAATACGCCCTGAGAGCGTGCTTTTAATGCAATTTCTCCACTTTCAGAGGCACATAGTAGGCAGGGAACCATTTTTCTTTTTAGCAGAAGGCCGTGAGAGGTTGCTACAGAATTCACATTGATTCTTGTTCGTTGTTGCCGTTGCAGCCTGGGTGCAATAAAAGTTGGCACCAATTCTTTCCCTGTAAGGATGGGAAAAACACTCGAGGAAGAAGGAGGCAAATTGCAGGCTCGACCAACGAAAGAATGATATTGCGAAGTGCATCACATAGGTGCGACTCACAACAGTTGGGTTTGCTTTCTGAGCGCAAGGAAGAAGAGCGGCAGACCATAGGCAAATGCGCGCGAGCGGGAGTGACACAGCATGTCCGTCTCTGGCAAAGGTAGACGCAAGAGAGTGTCAGATCACTTTGAGTCATAAGACGGAGAGAGTGTCAGTCTACCTGGCAAGAGAGTGTCTTTTGTCCGTCTCTGGCAAGAGAGTGTCAGTCTCTTATCATTTTGAGTCATCTATCAAGAAAGATAAGACCGTAGGGCTTGAGCAAATATAAACTAGCACAGGACGGGTGGACTGAAGACGTCATTTTTTCAAGTGCCACCAGTTAGGACATTGCTGGAGCAGACTGTGGCATACAATACGTCTTTGCCGTTGATCTTGAGCTAGAAATCGGTTTCTGATTCGAACTGGTGATGTGCACCACGATGCAGGATGACAAGGTAAAAGTCTATCTCTTGACATTTTTGACTTGGGGCAATATGGATGATTCAGGGAAGGAGCAGCTGGATCTGGATGTGAAGCTCGAAAAGAAGGCCTTGCTTGCTGCTTTGCTCCCATGGGATGTCGCATCAAGAAAGGCCGTTGTAAAGGCTACAATTTGTGTAGCCGGAGTCAACAGTCATACGGGCTGCAGGATAAATTGCATCGGGATGGCAAAGTTTCCTTTAACTCCTCAGAGCTTTTGCAAGTGATTTGCCACTAACAACCTTTGATGAAGCATTTTTAAGGTTGATACAGGATTCAAGCTCATTCTACGTATGATTTTCTCTTCCGAAAGAAACGCGAAGGCAAGGCACCCAGGCTTCAGTAGACATGACCACGGTAGCGCTAGACAGCATAAAGAGCGCGAGAAGACAAAAACCCTGGTCGTGCAAGTGTGGCGAAAGATAATGCTGAGAGTATGATCCAGTAGCACAATATAGCGCTCTATTTACTCGCCCCATTGTTCATCATTTACTGGACTTTAGTTTGAGACAGCTTCCTGAAATATCCTATCCAACCTATAGCCACACGGTCCACAACTCATGGATCTGCTCAATTAGGAGGCAAAGTTGGAGGAGCAGGTCAGAGAAGCCCAGCAGTTGCTGGCAAAAGAAGAGAAGGCCGCTCGTTTGCTTCTTTTTCTTCTAAGGTTTAAACATGTCAAGCTTGCAGGCTCAACAAATGATTGTCCTGAGTCGTTTTGGATCGTTTTTGAGCAAACGAATTGACAGGCATTGCCTTGAGGGAGACAAGACTTGCGATTGACTCGAATCGTTTTTCGATGTTTTTCGCCTCCCTGTTTTGCCGGCGACGCTTGTCTACCACGTTTTCGATTGCTCGACAGGCATTGGAAGAACTGCCAACTCTCGAGGCCTTGGAAAAGTGACCAACTCTCGGCTGTCCAAGACAGCAAGGGACCAACACCCGCAGACCTGCGAAGAAAGATGTTGATTTCAGCAGCATGCCGACGAAACGAGCGAGAGGAAACATGTGCATGTGAAGAAACGTTGGTTGCCGCATTGCGACCGTGGAAGAGTTTCTTGAGCAGGCAGAGAAGGTGACAAAAGTTCAAAGTGAGAAAGTTCTGCCGCCGGGATACGAAAGAGTACCATTTAGATGACCCCAGTGGTCCCTGCGCTGGTCCAGTTTCAATCCGATTCCAGCCGAAGGCATGTAGAAAAAGAGACAGACATACTCCGACTGAGACCCTGAGGATGGAGGAGGAAAGGCAAAGGCTAAAGCTCGAGGTGCGGTCCAAGCGCCCCGCGGCCACGGCTTCGCTGGTACCTCGCCGCGTCGGCCACGGCGGCGCCAGGAGTTGGAGATCAAGAAGTCCGAGCGACGCATCGACGAGGAGCACGAGCGACGCATTCCGACGGATGAAACGGAAGAGAAGAACCTTCGTGAGTCTCGCAACCGTTCTCGCAACCCCTGCGCGCCGCTTCAGACACGGGGACTTCTTTCTGTGACGGACGCAAACAGTACTTCGTCGATTTGTGATTTTCAGTCCAGTCCTAGAGTGTTCTTCTGGTCCACCTTGTTGCGTGGACCAGAAGTGTGATCTGCACTGTCAAAACACCACGTAGCTCGAGTCCGTAGCGAGTCCACGTCCGAGCTCGTCCGTTGAGTCGAGTCCACGTCGGTGCTGTCCGTCCAGGAGGTGAAGAGGCTGAGACGGGACAGAGCTTTGCGTGCCCGGACACGCAGAGGATTCTCAGCTCACTTCGCTTCTGCGTCCGCTTCTGCGTCCCTTCTTCAGGTCTTCAATGTCCTTCCTGCTTTTGGAAATCTGCTGGGAATGCTGGAGACTCAACGGCTGTCCTGTGGAGCGAGAGCCAAGGCGTCATGGTCTGCAGTCTGCAGTGGAAACAGCGGACGTACAGCGGAGCTTTCAAACGTTGTTTGGGTCGTTTCCCACTATGATCATCCGTGCCTGACTTGTTTAAATTC